TCAGCTACTAAGGGTGCAGGGTCAGCGCGCTCAGGAAGGTCACCAGAAGCGTGCGCCCACAGAGTCTCGTGTGCCTGAACCTGACTCTATAGGAGGCGGCGCGCACGCAGGAGCCAGACCGAGAACTTGAGCGGCCTACCCTCAGCGTCAAAGCGCAGGACCCTAGGGGTCGCCATAGCGGAAGCGTAGAGGTGGATACTGCTTCTGCCGAAACCCTAAACGCCTAGAGGGTCCGAGCAGGGCGCGACAGGCTGAGCGGAAGGCGCGACGCGATGGGACAGCAGGGCACGATGCGACGGGAGAGCAGGGCGCGACGCGACGGGACGGGTAGGACGCGACTCGACGGGACAGCAGGGCCCGACGCGACAGGCTTGGGGGGGGAGAGACGCGACGGGCAGGGGACGGAGCTACGGGCAGGGGACGGGACGACGGGCAGGGAACGGAACGACGGGCAGGGGACGGAGCTACGGGCAGGGGACGAGACGACGGGCAGGGGACGGAACGACGGGCAGGGGACGAAACGCGACACGCAGGGGACGGGACGGGTAGCGCGACGCTACGGGCAGGGGACGGGACGGGCAGAGGACGGGACGGGCAGGGGACGCGACGCGACGGGCAGGGGACAGAACGATGAGCAGGGAGGCGCGTCGAGTAGTTGACGGGATGGGCGGGTGACGGGCGCGACACGACGGGCAGGGGACGCGACGCGTCGGCTAGGGGACAGGCACGACGGGCACTACGAGCGCTACGGCCGCTTCGTGACGGAATGGGCACGCGCTAAGGGCGCTACATGATGGAACGAACGGCCACAACGGGCGCTACGGGACGAAAAAGGCGCTGCGGGAACGGTAGACTACGTGCAACGGGCGCGAGAGGCTTTAGCGGGATCCCACAGGATCCTAACCTAGGTGATACCATGTCAAGAATGAAAGTGTTGGTTTGACTAAGGTTGGTTGGGGTACATAAGCCTAACCCTAACAGTTGTACCCCCTATAACACACATCACTAAGACTACAACATTTGACAGGTTCCTAGGGCCTGACAAATCTCGCCCTCCTCGCCGACCAAATCGTCGCGAAGCCATTTGTCCACTTTAGACTGTTGCCATCCAGTTTAATCCTCCTCAGCATGTTCCATTCCACCGATGAATCCCGCCGCCTTTGCTTTCGCCACGTCGACCCGAAATTGTGGGTGTACAGTTTCACTTGTTGCCAGAAAGCCATCTCAATCCTTCGCAGGACCCGCTGCGTCCTGAATTTCCTCCCTCTTAAAACAGCCTCGCACCGCTAAAGCCACAGCTGGTGCAGTGTGATTGATGTTAACGTCAGCTCCGGAAAAGCAGAGCTGGTGCCTGTCTCCCGGAACAGTAGATCACCCAGCGAGTCTATCGCACGGCCGGGATTGAGCATGCTTAGAGCGCGCCGAAGAGCGATGGAAACCACTTGGATTCTGGGACAGAGCACCAAGCAGTGCTCCAATGTCTCCGGGTCCCCGCAGTATGGGCAGACCGGCTACCTGCTGAGAAACGCCAGGCGCTCCCCTACCTGAAGATTCAGACCGTGGATCCGGATGAGCACGTCACGTGGACGGTTGGGAACCGCCAGGGAATCTCGTGTGTTCACGATTCTTTTCCAGTCGATGTGACCACCCCACCTTGCCACCCATTTCGCACGCTTGAACAACTCTTTTTGTACCCCCTTCCAACCTTCTCTCATCCGCTTCATGGGAATAATCCGCCCGTCCTCCAAAATCAGCACTTGAGGGGAGGAGTCAACCGAGCTGGGGAGAACCGTTTGGAAACCCCAGCAGTCTGTTCCAAAGAGCAGGAAGAGGGCGCCTAGTGCCCTCAGCGCCAATTTCGCAGGACCGCTGCTTCCCAGCTGGTCTGTCAGGACTGCCATGGATTTTTTTGAGAGACCACCAGCACTATCTTGGACGAACAAATCCCCCACCCTCAGATCCCAGAGCTTCTTAGCCTCCTTCTGTCCCCCGACCGGAGTAGTATCACGGAGCAAAATTCGTTTGTTGAAAACCACCCTCTCCTGCAGAACCTCCTCCTTAGTGACGGCCACTGCCTTCGTGCACAGCGACGAGCTTGTGAGGCACTCGCATGTCTGCTTCCAGCGGACACTCCCCCCTTCCCAGTGCTTGAACAGCTTCTCATGAGCCCCGAACGACTCTGCCCTCAAAGGTAGTCTCGCCGCACGTACCATCACATCCCGTTAGATCGCATTTTTCTCCGTGAGAAACAGACCCGCTCTCCTCGCCGCGAGACAAGTGATGACTATCTCCGGGTCCATAACTCCAATCCCTCCCGCCGCTCTCGAGGTGTAGAGCAGCACCCTGCTCAAGAGCATGAAACCCTTTGCCGTCGAGACCCTGTTTCCAGACAGGAAACCGTGCAGTAAACGCCCCAGATCATCCCAAAATTCCGCGGTTGGAGGGTAGACCTGAGCTTGAAAGGCGATAATGGGCGTGACGTAGTAGTTAACCACCGTCGCTCGTGCCGAGATGGTTACTTCTGCTTCCATTTGACCAACTTCTCCGCTATTCGCCCCAGTGTTTTCTCCCACGTTTGCAGGCCGCTCCCAGATGGCGACACCCACACTCCCAACAGATGCTCAGCGTCACCCGCACCGGCCCACTTAAAAATTGACGCACTGTCTGCCGGCGCGCCAAGGTTCAACCCCAGAGGTAAGACAACGGATTTTCCTTTGTTAGTTGCCAGCCCTGACACTTTCTCAAACTTGTCCAGGATTGCCTCTGCCTTAACAATCTGCTCCGCTCCTTGCAGGATGAGTGTCGTGTCGTCGGCGTACCCGACATAACCGAGTTGCTGCCCGTCCTTACTGAGACCCAGATATTCCTCCTCCACTTTCTGAGCCAGCGGCTCCACCGCACATAGGAAGAGGTAAGGCGCGAGCGGGCACCCCTGCCGGACCCCCGAGACCACGCTCATCCCATCACCAAGCCAGCCATTAACCAACAGTTTTGTCGTGGTGTTTTCATGCAGGCCCTCAATCCAGGCGACAAACCGCACCGGGAACCCCATCTTCCGGAGCACTTGGAAGAGGAAGTCCCGGGAAACCGAATCGAAAGCCTTCTGGATGACCACCAGCAACATGAACCAGTCCTCCTTATCATTTTTCGCCACATCGATGACATCCGCCACCATTGCGACTGCATCTGAAAGACGCCTCCCTGGGATGAACCCATATTGCTCAGGTGAGATGACGTGATGCAGCACCCGCTTCATTCGGTCGGCCATGACCTTAGCCAGCACCTTGTATGTAAAATTCAGAAGAGTGATAGGGCGGTAGTTGTTCAACTGATCCCGGTCCCCTTTCTTGTGCAACAGGATTGTAACCGTCTCTTTGAGCTCCGCAGGAAGAGAGGCATACCGCTCAAAATCCCTTGCCATCGCCATGAAACTGTCACCCAGCAAGTCCCAGTGGACTTCAAAGAGCTCCTTCGGGAGCCCATCTCCACTAGGCGACTTATTCTTTGCCATTGATGCAAATGCCGCCTTCACTTCATCCTCCGTCCAATCCACATTTAACATATCCGCTGCTTCCTTTCCCAGGCGCCTGCACGGGTCGAAATCCCAAGAAGAGAAGTCAGTACGGCGATCCTTACCGAAAATCCTTTTGAAGAAATCCGACGCAGCACCAAGGATCTGCTGCACCCCGGTGACCGTGTTACCCCCCTCCTTCAGCTCCGTGATTTGCGTACGGGCTTTCCTTGCCCGAACCCTCGCCGACAGGAGTTTTGATGCGATTTCTCCAGTCAGCTCCTCCGACAACCCGGCTTGAAGATGCAGCCTCTCCTTACGCACTTCCTGGTATGCTTTTAACTGCGCCTCCTTTGCCTCAAGCACCGCTCATATGACATTACAACTTGGATTTCCCAACAGTTCCTGCTTCAACACCGCGACCATGTTAACCAGATGAGCCAAGGTTTTCTTAACCCGCTTGCTCTCCTCCCTTGCGTAGGCCCTTAAACCCGCTCCCAGGCGTGCGATCAAGAGCTCAAAACTGCTGCCGTCATTGACTGCGGTTCTCCGAACCGTCGCATCAATGATCCTTCTTACCCCAGGCCTCCGTACCATCGAGGCATGTAACCTCCAGATTCCCAGCCCAGTGCAGATTTTCTCGTCCAGGCGAACGGCGACTTGAATCGCGAAGCCATGGTCCGAGACCGGTTCCTCCGGCATGTCATGTCTGGCGATTGACAAGTGAGTTAGTAAAGATTGTGATACCAGTGCGCGATCTATGCGAGGGCTGCAGCGATGTGAGTGAGCGTAAAAAGCGTACTCTTTGTCTCTCGGGTGCAGGGTGCGGAATGCATCAGAAAGCTGGAAGCTGGCGCAGCATCAGAAGAGCTTATCGTTCTCCGCCGACGAGCCTGAGCCTAAGGATCTGTCCAGTTTGGGGTCATCCGTCACGTTCAGATCGCCGATGATGGGAAGGTGAGAGGAGGGTGGTATCCTATCAATGACTGGTCCGAGGGTGTCTCTGATGAAAGCGGTTCTAGGGGTAACGTGTGCAGGAAGATAAACTGCTACCAGCGTGAGGTCCATCCCAGCTCCTTTAACTACTGTCTTGACTATTCTACCCAATGGGTGAAGTTCCGTATCCTGAAAGGAAATGTCCTGATTACTACAGCCGACGGCTACTCCGCCAGCACTGGCCTGGGGTGGGTTTGCTAGGACTGTGTAAGAACTAAGTCCAGACCAGTAAGTATGACCGTTGGCTATTCTAGTGTCTACTAATACTGCGATGCCGGCTGCTTTTCTCATCCACTTGGTGACACGCTCTTGTTTGGTTCGGTTGCCTAAGCCGCTGACGTTTAGGCTTGCGATGGTGAGGTGGTTTTTATTAATAATTTGGTATTTGCCTTGCAGTCCCTTGTCATCCACATGCTGTAAAATGATACTACACAGATGAAGCTAACTCCGAGACTCCAGTAGGTGGCTATACGCAGGTAACGACCGAGATCTTTCACATCCCGTACTTGCGAATCGCGCTGAGGTTCAGCTTGTCCAGGGACTCCTTCGTGGCGGAGCCTGCTTTCGTCAGCTGCTGCAGGTGAGTGGCTATGGAGATGTGGTCTGCAGCAGCCATGAAGCTTCTCCCCTTCGCTTTTCCGCAGCCAGTCTGAGTGCAGATCCAATCCTCCCTGCTGCTGCTGGTGGAGATAAAAGCGATGGCCGGATCTCGGAGAAGAGGGAGAAACAACGGTGATGCTTTCAGCGACGCAGCTGCGAGAGCTGAAGGAAAGGTTAGTAACTGAGGTGAGAAGAAGAAAAGAAAGACGGCGAGAGAGTTTGCTGCTGCGTTTACCGTTAAGCCTGTGGACCTTTCCAAGAGTGAGATTCCATTTACTAACATTGTTCCGACGCTCAGTGATAAAAACATAATGATACTTATCATAGTGTTTGCCACCACAGAGCATGCAGGACAAGGCCGGGTAATGGACCAGGAGCATCTTCGCGCGGTCAGCATGGTCAGCGACGGCGTGAATCCATCGGCGATTCTTATTACTCGGGTGAGCGTAGACCAGCGCTTTCACCACGTCCGTATCAGCACCCGTGACCGGATGAAGCACCCGATGGAGACAGGTACACCTCTGGAAGGCCGACAAACCATTTCTCTTAAGCAGGTAAGACGCTAAGCGATCATGAACCATGTCCAGTTCAACAGCCGCGAATACATCCCTGATCATGACTTCAATCGCGTGTGGATTCGGAGCCTTTTCGCGCGCGTAAGCAGGGTCCTCCGTATGTTGCCAATGAAGTGTAATGAGCTGTCCCTGGTTCTTGAGCGGCTGATAAATCACCTCCTTGCCCCGCACCCATGATGCATCTGACTCCAGGGCGAAAGAGACTTGCAGACGGCAATATCTTGTCTTGGCGACATAAGCGGTTTGCAGCTCCTGAAATTTTGTCGTCTTCGTGGCATCAACTGATAAATATGTATACCATCCATGTTTGATTAGTGCCTTGACTGCATCAATCACACAGGAGATCTCCTTTTCGAGCATGAAATGAATGAGCAAGATAGCAACGGAGCGAAGCCTGAAGCCAGCTTCCTTGTCGTCGATCAACATCTCATCATCCGAGTCATCATCGAGGAAGCCATCTGCATCAGTGAGTCCAGCAGACATGTCAGCCTTGTCGCTCACTGAGAGGCCTGACCCTCCAGCCATTGGAGCATTGTCAGCAGCTTTGTCAGCAGAATTGTCACTTGCAGTCGTGCTCTTGTTAACAATGTTACCATCCTCTCCACCCGTTTGCTGGACATCCGGAGATGATACACTTGGAGCCAGCGGATCATTCGCAGGACGAGAGCGCTGACCCTTAGGCACCACCGGGACGTCAACTGGGTGTGACATGGTGCGATGATGAGAACCAGGCGAAGAAACAGCGTGCCGAGCACGCTTGATGACTGAGTTAAGATGAAAAGCCTGATGTCTGAGCACCGATTTAAGTAGTAAACGGAGCTTGTCAGGCTCCAATAGTTCCTGCTGTTGGTGCTGTATTCCCGAGGTTGCAACCTCGAAATCGCCGTCCTTAATAAAGGTTGAAATAGGAGTGTAGCCATTGATGGTAGTTACAAAAGCCGATGAACTTGGAGCATGAGTAGAAATCAATCCTGGGAATGCCTTGAGAACGCTGAGCCTTGTCGCCTTATAACTGGAGTAACCTAGGCCAGCATAAATGGCTGGTAATCCAATGTTAGTGTTAAAAGTGATACATGAAACGGAAACAGACGTTCATATGGAGCATTGTAACAAGGAAGTTGACTGATTCAAGCTCAGAGAAATCCATGGCTGACTGATGGCGGAGAGCTCGGAGAAATCCATCGGCTGAATACTATTCTACTGGTAGTGCTGATGAAACAACAGGGAGACCAGAAAATCTGTACTTGAATCATTCACACTTTCTATATTACGTCCTTTACCGTATAACATGGTCATGCGTGCATTGTCACCAACAGCTTACCGGTGCATATCGTTTCATGGATTCATACACTGCCTGTCCACCTGACATCGGGAAATGTTCTGCTCCTCCTTACTGACACCTCCCACAGATTGGACTCACCGCCACGTGGCATTGACTACACAATTTGTCAGATGCATGGATTCGCGGTCAGATGTTTGGTTCGGTTGACGTGAGGTGTCAGGTTTGCTCCAGACAAATTCCCAGGTAGAGTCAAAGCTGGACATGGGAATAAGCTGTCACCCAATGTTTCTAATAGCTTTGATGAGTCTACCAGACAAGAGTTATCGATTAGTGTATTCCCGACCTGGATAAAACTTCTGAAAGCAACGTCCTTTCAGAGCAGGTGGGCATATGGGATGCACTGTGCAGGTGGTATTTTCTGGCACCTTCTCAGGAGTTCGTGTGCTGTCGTTTTGCAACGCCTATCTATCCCCGTCACCATCATGCGCCCATTCATTGGTTGGACAACGCGACTCAGAACAGATCGAACATGCGTCTCGAGGCAAATCCATATTCGTGGGTCCGTTCGTGACATCTGGCCAACAACACGGCCAAACCCATCCACAACCACCTGCTCCCCTCACCAGGGCAACTGGGCTCCAAAATCCTCGACCACCCTTCTTAGTCGCTCTGTTCTCTTTACATAATTAGTTGTCAGCTAACACAATTCTAACCAGGCACTCATTCTCCAGCATCAACAAGTTCACAAGTCAAACAACCCAACCCCCACGACTGGCAGTCTCGCCCACGTCAATGGCTCGCACAATCCTCCTCGCCCTCTTCGGGCTTCTCCTTATAACTTCAGGCGCAGATGCGGCTCCGCGCAGGGGCGCCTCCAAGGGAAGCTCGAAAGGAAGCTCCAACACCTTGTCGCTCTCTGACGCAGTAAAAGCCTCGGAAAAGGCTAAGGGCGCCGTCTCATACAGCCAAGACCTCGTCGCGCAGCTCACAACCAAGGCCACCGACGCAATTGCCGCATCCGCAACCAAGGAAACCGAAGAGGAGACGGCCCTCGCAAATTACGACACCGCAGCTGACACTTTCGCGACGTCCGTCTCGGATCTTCCCAAGGCCAACTTCAATGCCGATCGTAAGAAGGCCCTCCAGGCGCGGCTCGCGGAGAAGCTCAAGGCCGCAACTGCGCGGTCCGCGACTGCGAAGAAATACTCCGAGGCGGTTACCGCATTGGCTGCCCAAGTTGACGCTGCTGCCGGCGCTGCCGGCACCGGTTCCACCGCCGCCGCCGACGCTCTCACCGCCGCTCTTGACGCCGTCGATGCCGCGAATGCGGCAGCTAAGAGCGACCCGAGCCTGGCCACCCGCGCGAAAGCCGCCGAGAAGGCCGTCGCAGTGGCCGTCGCACAGAAGGTCGCTAGCGGGTGGGAAGTGCACATGACGACGCTGACGAACCTCCAGACGGCGTCTGCCGCTCTCAGCTCGGACGCGACGACAGCGTACGACGATGCGACGACAGAGGAAGGGACGATGAAGACGGCAAAGGAGACGGCCGACGCGGATCTCGCGACTGCCGTTGCGGATGCTGCTACCGCGCAGCAGGCGTACGATGCCGCGAAGCAGGCGCTCGACGCGGCGGACGCCTCCCTGGCTCAGGTTCGCGCGGCGGTGAACAAGGCCCGGGTGACCCAGGCTGACAAGGTCAAGGCGATGAGGGATGCCGTGACGGGACTGTACGGGAAAATCATTTTGAACATCGCCGCGTCGAAAACGTGGGTGGATGTTACCACGTCAACGACCCTCGCCGGGCAGAAGGACTGGGAGAACCGCGCGTCAGGCAAGGCTGCATCAGATCCCAAGGCTCTCAGCAACATGGACAGCATCGTCAAGGGCTCTGAGAAGGGCCCCAGTGCCGGTGACTCCAGCGGCGGGGCTATGTAAGCCGTGTGTGGACTTTGAAATAGGTGGGATTTTTCATCGTTTCTTCGCTCTGCTGGAGTGCGGCTGGCCGGCCGACTGGGCGCATGACAGGGTATTAGAATAAGACGTGGTCCGCCATTGTCTGGCTGTGCCAAGTGCCGCTGTGTTTGTACCAATTTTTGTAATTGTATTAACCATTTTATTCAATGATAGCCAGTTCTTCACTGCCTGGTTCTGTATTTGCCTTGGACTTTCCCATCTCACAGTTCGTTTGATAATGCCTGATTTTTTCTTCGCCAGTCACCAACTTTCCTTCAGTACAAAGAATTAGACATGCTCGGTATCTCTTTCTGGGCATGAAAGCTCTGAGGTGAAGGCAGGTGCTCCATGCCGTTTGGACAGGGAGGCCTTGTGCACCCTGTCTCCGCAACAAAGAGACCTGATGGCCTTGCACCCTGAACCTTGACTTCGAATTATCAACCTGGATTTTTGTTTCGGAAATTGGATGTTCCCCTCAGCTTCGCGCCGCACTGCTGCACACATTTTCGCCCAGTTCGTCGCATGTCGTCCAGGTTTTTTTGCCGACGGAAAGTACTCGTCGCCCAGGTGTGCTGTATGTCGCTCGTTAGCCACGTCACGAGGTGGGATATTGTTTTTCATCTTCGTTAGGAGCTTCAGCTGCAGCTACAGAAGAAGTGAGAATCAGGACGGTAATACTTTTTTCCACCATACATTTCCGATTCCAATTAGCGCCAGGATGTAGTGCCATTGCGGCTAACGTAATGGAGTCTAACGCTACATACGCAATAACACAGTTTCTCAAGTATTGTCAGTCAGGTATAAAACGGTCAGGGAGGGTGAGGTATGGAACGACAGGAACGAACTTGGCTTAGTTGGATGGAACCCACCCCAAACCCAGGATTGCTCGATCAGAAATCAGACACAAGGCTTTTACCGAGTCTAACAATGGAAGTGGCAGGCCGAACGAATTGTGCCTAGAAGCTGTCTTGACAACAGGAGTGTGTCTGCCGCAGTACGCCTACGGCAGTGCACCTGCGGCATGCATCCTGTCCTAGAGAACCCTCGGAAGAGCTCTTTCCCTCAGTCGAAAGGTTCTCCTGAGGGGGCACGCAAGTCCACCAAAGCGACTGCGCGCCGAGCGAGCCGAGAGGCGAGGCCCCGCCGCAGCGCCGCTCGCAGCATCGTCTGCTTCGTCGCCTGCAGGATCTGGACTTCCACGAGCGGCGTAACGGCGTTCATCCGCAGATACAACGTCGGTCGATCGACTGCGGCGCACCGCTGCATCCGATCCAGCGCGTCACCTGCTTCCCTGACCCCGAGCAGTCACGTCATGTGACGGCAGCCTGCTTCCGATCTCTCGCTCTCCCCCCTCGCCTAGAAAGATCTCCCAGGTTCTTCGGGTGGTGTGGGAGGCACGTGATACTGAGGCAGTGTTTTGAGTCGACCCAAATGTCACCTGCTTCCAATCTCTCTTTTCCCCCCCTCGTCTAGAAATGTCTCCAAGGTTCTTAAAGTGGTGTGGGAGGCACGTGATTCTGAGGCAGTGTGATGCTGCCAGAGTACCAGGAAGCTTGACCGCGTGGGAGTTCGTTCTGCAGCCCTCGAGGAACCCAACGCGGTCCCGGGTGAAAGGAAGCATGCTAAAGAGGCACGCTATCGCCATTATTTCTCTGGAAGTCGCTTCGCCAATTCGTTTGTAACGCGGATTGAACGCTGTGACTGCACACCGCGGCTGTAAGTGAGCCGAAAGGTCAAGCGAGTTCACGAAGGGACGTACAACTAAGCACTGCTGTCTCCGAGTCGCCGGGTGGTTTCTTGCTGACTCCGAGTCGTCGCATGGTTGATCTCTTGGTAAGCACGACTGGACGGAAGAGCCGATGGCAGCACCCACCTGCGAAAACGGTGGAGGTAGATCGACACTGCTTCCTAGACGTCCGACCGTCTGGCGTAGCGTCAACTGGCAATTTCGCAATTTCTAGCAAGCAGGCTGGCTGCTCTCATGAAAACGGCGAGGATCTGGCACAACATCGATTCAGGAGAGGTCATAAGCGAGGGGGTGGATCGTCCATGGTGGTAAAATTGATGCGTCCAATGCTGAGTTCGAATCGAGAGTGCGCTGTCAGGCCCTGAGCGATAGTGTGTTATACTAGCGACCGCATGGGACGCTGGGGATTCGGGTGCACCTGGCAGGCTTTTCTTGGACAAGGATCCGGGCCGTCCTCGGACTATCCTGCGGCACGGTAAGACCAATGCGGTGCGGCAGAGATTACCTAGGGACAGCTCTCGTTCAGATTACCTCGTGTAAAGTGATGAAATTCGGAGTGGAACTTTTTCAAAGCAGGCTAACGCGGTCGAGTATGCTTCCACGCGATAAAATTATTTTCACTGCGGCGAAGAGTCGCTGTTCCCTATGCCAGACCGCTAGTTTCTGTAATGCTCTGCAACCATTGGTAACGCACGGTACCGTAATACAATGCTCTGTGACGTTTTCCGATTTCCAAGCCCACACCAACCGCCACGTTGTTGGTTCTCGTTTGGGAAATCTCACAACAAGTTCGCAGTTGAACGCATAGCAAGAGCATTCTCATAACAGTGACGCAAGAGCCTTCAAATGGGTTTCAATCAAGATTGCTATATATCATTTTTTTATTCAAATATACGATCTTGTTCTTATGCTAACATAGGCGTCAATGACCGTTTCTGCAATTGTTCTTTTAAGCTCTTGGTTTCCCTACGAAGTCAAAAGATTGTGCCTAGGTGAAGGACTCAATACCGGATATCACTGAATGCCCTCAGCCTTGTGACATGGAGTAGGCCTGTCCAAGAAAGATGGCGTTCACAGAGCTGGCGTCCAGCTGGCTTCGTCGAGTTCCGTTTTCACGTCGCCAAACCCGAGGAGCTAAGGCTTCTATATTACGCGGCCCCGTGCCCCTGCTGCCCTCTTCTAACGGGAACAGCCAGGGACCACGTTCGTCATGTGGGGTCAAATCCACAGCGTATCACGCGTATTTCCTCCCAGAGTGGGACCACGAGACAAATCATGACGCCGTGATGCGTCAGACAGCCTCCATCCTGTCCACAAGTCATCGGACGCACCGAAGCTTCTGCCATGGACGCTTGAGCAGCGAACTTACAGTCACGCCTTTGCCGACCAATTTGTTTACAGGCGGATCTTACCTGATATGCACTTACTGCTGTTGTGGCTTTTGCCTCCGTCGAAAGCTAAGAGCCATGAAGAATTCTGAGTCAGCAAGAAGATGATCCAGCCTGGATCATGCACAGCAAGGCAGCTGCCTCAATTTCGGGCGGCACAATGCTGCTAACAGCTAAACTCGCCACTGCGACATGATTTCACGTCAGGGGAAGGACGCTACGCTCTTCTAGTAGATCTACCCCAGGTGGCTGTTCGACTTATCACGTGGCTCTCCCTGGTCAGATTCCCGCACCGCGTTGTGCTCCCCGAGAAATATCCGGGACGTCGAAATCACGTGGTCCACATACCAGAAAGTTCTCAGGAAAGAGCAAATGCCAGTCCGCATCCCGTGTCGCCAGTCAGACGAGGATTTCTGGTGGGCTGATCTCATTTGATCCCGCCTCTTGCGGACAAACCAGCTCCAGCTGGACAAACAAATGGTCTGGTGGTTCCCCCGACCGGGGAAGAGACCGCTGACGGTTCGGAGCGACTATAGCGGATCATCGGACGATTTTCTGGCCGTGACGGCCTCGGATGAGGAGCTTTCGGACCTGAACTGTGGCCGGAAATCGAGGGGGATACTAGCTTTCTCCGCCTGCTGCCTCGCGGTTTTCGATTGCCCCGTGGTTTCCCAGACAGGCTGATTCTGAAGAAGCAGAGGTTTTATTATAAACTGAGGGAATCCCAAGACGAGTTACTCCTCTTTTGGCTCGAAATCCTGGACAAGCCCATCTCTGAGGCCTAGAGTTCCTAGTAGCATCGCTTTCATTAGATATAAAAAACAAACCAGCCACAGGTTGTTAACTGTAGTCTTTTTTCGTGAGCTCGCTGCGGTGTTGCTTCCAGCTCATGCCAAACCCTGCTACACTCTCGTGTCTTGTTTCCGAACTATGGTTATGGGTTGCCGTCAGCCGTTGAGTCCTCACGCTGTTATGGTAGGAGGAGACACATCCATGGAGGCGGCGATTGCGGATTTGGAGGTTTGCCACGCGTCGCTGAAGCACCAGATGACGAAGATTCAGCTGGTGAAGGAGCAGTTGCGCGAAAAATGGAAGCAGAGTAACGAGGTATAATGCTCAGTCAATCGATTTGATCTTAAAACACCATGTTCGTGTATTCATTACGCCTGAGTACACTACCTGATCATTTCTTGAAACCTCTTTCACACGATACTGAACACTTGCAGGACGCCGACAGCCCAAAGAACTCCGTTCATCCCATTCGTTGGTCAAGCCCCGGTGGATCAGGCACCTTCTCAGCCTCCCAGAGCCAATCAGCGGTCGTCTCTCCAGCTCCCAGGAACCTGCTTCCGCTCAACCTTCCAAGAGAAATATCAAGAGGTTCCTCAGAGAATGGTTCATCAGAGAGCGACGCGCACTCACCCCTCAGGCGGTTCCCGTCGGGAATCCATGGTTGGGATTCTGAGGACCAGGCCATCTATGTCTTCAGGCCTGATGGCACCATCGTGATGTGGTGTGTGATCTGTCGTACGGGATTAGTTTGGGATTTGCTTTTCCCTGTGTCGTATTGAACCTTTTTCAGACAGATTAGAAATTGATGTGAGTATTCTAGTCTAGTGCTCCTTGGTTCACCGTTGTTGAGTCATTGACCTCCCTTAACTCCATCTATTGTCCCTGGTGTCTGCAGGAATTCGGGGTCGGAAAAATTGTTTGGATATACAGAAGAGGAGGCAGTCGGGCAGAAAATAGGGGAGCTGCTGTGCTGTCAGCAGTCGAACGAGGCCGCCTCGCAAATCATTGCCCTCCTGCAGGTCAGTCAGTCAGACCACCAATTCAACTACACTCCTTGTTGATCATTCTGTCGTGGGTCACTCCTGACACCGCTTGTTGATAACCCCGCTGGTTCTGTCCCATGGTTGTCTGGCCTGTGAGTCATCTGCGATGGCGCAGTGCCTGTGCAACTATTCCCTCGCCAAGAAATCGGGGAGGCGTGCGTGTTGACACAATGATAAAACGCCGGCTCACCAATGACGGCATGACCACCATGATAACCTTTGTTTCTGTCACCTCCTCCCTCCTTTTTCCTTGCAGGGGGGGCAGTGCTGGGCTGGCAACTCTCCCCTTACTAAGAAGTCAGGCGAGGTGTTCGACGCAATGATTACCGACCGGCCCGTGATAGACAACAAGGGAAACGTGAGCATGATCGTGGGAGTGGCGAGTGACAGCCGGCCGTTCAAGGAGCAGGTTCGAGCGTTCATCGGCAGCTGCAGCAGCAGCATGCATGTCAGAACGTCTGTCGGCCCTGTCTCCGCCGCCTCTCCTGCTGCCGCTGCTGCTTTGCATTCTGCTACTACTGCTGGTGCTACTGCTGCTGCTGCTGCTGCTGCTGCTGCTGCCTCCGTTCGCCCTGCTGCCTCCTTTGGCGCTGCTGCTTCCACTCCTGATAGCATCCCATCGCCCTCCATGCCTCTCCAGAGCATCCCATCGCCAACTGCAGCAGAGGACAAGGCAGAGCGTCAGCAGGCAGCAGCAGGCCTCAAGCCCCTCCGTTGGTCAAGCCCGGACGGATCAGGCTCCTTCTCAGCCTCCCAGAGCCAATCCGGGGTCGTCTCAGCCTCAGCAGCTCCCACAAACCTGCTTCAGCTCAACCTTCCCAGTCACTTGGATGGCTCATCAGAGGGCGACGCTCACTCACACTCACCTCTCAGGCGGTTCCCTTCGGGAATCCATGGGTTGGAATCTGAGGACCAAGCCATCTACTGCTTCTTGGGCGATGGAACCATAACCATGTGGTACGTGAAGGGCTTAGTGGGGTCCAGTGCGGTTCCCCTCGGGAATCCATGGCTTGGAATCTGAGGACCAAGCCATCTACTGCTTCCTGGGCGATGGAACCATAACCATGTGGTACGCGACGGGTCCTTTTTTTGTGTTTTTTTTTTTTGTTTGCTCATTTGCTTGTCAAGCATTTTCGGGCAGAATCATACCAGTCTTTGTCATCATCATAGGTTCTTAGTCCTTCGTGATTCACCGTTGTGAAGTTTAAGCCTCCTGGCTCCACCTGCTCTTTTCCGCACCATTCTGTGCTTGCTGTCTGCAGGAACGCAGGGTTAGATACGCTGTTTGGGTATGCAGCGGAAGAGGCTTTGAGGCGGATTTTGCCATTTAAATGCTAAAAAATCAACTTAAAATACATTTGACTCCCCTTGGTTCCATCTGTTTTTTTTTTTTTTTTGTCCTTGCTGTCTGCAGGAACGCAGGGTCGGAGAAGCTGTTTGGTTACACAGAGGAGGAGGCAATGGGGCGGAACATAGTGGAGCTGCTGTGCTGCAAAAAGACGAGCAACGCCGCCTTTCAAATCATCGCACGCCTGCAGGTCAGTCAGACAGACAGACCACCAAATCGGCTACACTTTTTGTTGCACTTTGTCCTTGGTTACTCCTGCCATGGGCTCGCTGGTGTCCTTACTGTGCCGGCCTTTTGTTGTTCAGATAGGAGGTGTTTGACTCGATAAAACAGACCGATAAAACAGACCTTCTCAAGAATGACGCCCACGGAAGTGCCACCATTGAAGTGTGATCACCTCTGTCCCTGCCACCTCCCTTGCCTTCTTTTCTCCGTGCAGGTGGGGCACTGTTGGACAGGCAACTTACCCCTGACCAAGAAGTCAGGCGAAGTGTTTGATGCGATGATAACAGATCGGCCTATTATCGACAACAAGGGCAACGTGATATTGATTGTAGGGGTGGCGAGTGACAGTCGACCGTTCAAGGAGCAGATTCAAGCGTTCATCGGCAGCTGCAGCAGCAGCATGCACGTCAGCACGTCCCTTGGCCCTGTGTCGACTGCTTCTCCTGGTGCCGCTGCTGCTGCCGCTGCTTTTCATTCTGTTGCTTCTGCTCTGCCTAGTGCTGCCGCTGTTGCTGTTGCTGCTCCCCTTGGTGCTGCTGCCTCCTTTGACGGTGCTGCTTCCACACCTGATGACTTCCCATCGCCAGCCACGCCACTTGAGAGCATCCCCTCTCCAACTGCAGCAGAGGACAAGGCAGGGGATAAGGCAGAGCACTGGCAGTTAGCAGCAGGCTTGAAGCCACTGCAGCTGAATGTGACCACTGCACCCCTGCGACCAATCCGGGTTCCTGAAAACGCGACCATTTTTGCAACCGGAAATGCAACTGGAGGTGCTCCTTCCCGCGTGGCTCGTGTAACCTCCCGGCTTTCTGCTGCTCCTCTGCGTTCTCCCTCTCACTCCCGCACCACACCTCTGCGTCTCCCTGAGTTGGCCTACACAGATGAGGCTGATATGACTGTGCCGCTTGCAGGCCTTGTTGCTCGTGGTTCTGGAGCTCTGGGCTTTCAAGGAGGAGGAGTTGAGGAAGGAGAAGCAGCAGCAATGACGTTTGATTTCCCGAAGGGAGAAACAGCAGTGCCATTTGATTTCAGTGCAGAAGGGGGGCCAGGAGGAGGGGAAGCCGCATTACCATTTGAGTTTGATGCAGAGGGCGAGGCTGCTCACGCAGAGTGCCAGCACCCGTGGCAGATACCTTTTGCTTCAACTGTCCTATCCCTGGTAACTTTCATATTCCTTCTAGCCCTGTGTTTCATGGTAACAATCTCATCGGCTCACAACGCCGTTATTTTCCTTCTCATCCTCGTTCATATATCCCCACACACCTCGTCTCTCCCTCGCAGGCTGGCAGGGTGGCACAGTCAATCGGGCAGGTGCGCAAGCGCCTCTCTCCCACCAGCTCTACTGTCGCTTCTCAGGCCCACCTCCACCTCCCAGAACCCATTTCACCGCAGCAGCATCTCCCACTGCCACCATCACCACCAGCAGCTGCTTCTGCCAACCATATCTCTTCATCCGAAGCTCGTTTGCGTGGGGGCGTGCAGGGGATGGTGATCCAGGGAGGGAGGAGTCCCAAGGCGAGCAGGCTGAGTCCGGAGGGTGACAGGCTGAGCCGCCACAACAGCGGCTCTGGAAGCTCCTGCAGCAGCTCTAGCACTGCTGGCGCCGCTGCTGCTGGTGCTGCTGCTGCTGGCGCCGCTGCTGGTGGCGCTGCTGGTGCTGCTGCTGCTGGTGCTGCTGCTGGTGGCGCTGCTGCTGCTGGGGCCGGTGGTATTTGGAACGGTGGCGGGAGTGACAGTGCTGATATCAGCAGAGGTTTCAGAATTCCTGCTGCCAGGCCTCGCCTGGAACCTGAAAGCACCGCTCTGGACCCCTCTGCAGTCAGTGCTGCCACTGCTGCAACTGCTGCTGCCGCTGCTGCTGCCGCCGCTGCTCATGGTGCTATCTCTGCTTCCACTTCTGGATCCGCTGCTTCGCCACTGCTTACTCTCGCTCCTCCAACATTCCGCCCAGTTCACTCTCCGCCTGCTCTGCCTGCTGCTGCTGGTGCTCCAGCTGCGTTCGCTGATCCTTCTGCTGCTGTTTCTGCTGCTTCTGCTGCTGCTTCTACTGCTGCTGCTGCTCTTCCAGGGGCTCCTGTCTTGGCACTCACATCCGCGTCCTTCCTTCCTTCCTCTGCCTCGCTCCTTCCCCCGTCAGCCTACCATCTCCCCTCTGTTGTTGCTGCCGCACATGTGACTCAACTCGCTCCCCTGCAGCCTGAAACGTCCCTTGCTGGTTCTGCTGCTTCCGGGGCTGCTGCTGCCGCCACTGCTTCTGCTGCTGCTGCTGATTCTCTCTGGCACGGCTTTGGCTTCTATTCTGGTGGTGCTGGTGATGCTGTTGCCGGCGATGGTGCTGCTGGCTGTGGGGTTGGTGTCGGTGCCATCGTGCCTAGTGGTGCTCGTGCTTCTGCTGCTCTGGCGGCTGCAGCTGCAGCTACAGCATGCCATGCACACATGGAGGATCTGATCCTGGCGGATACTCCCAAGGACCAGGGCGGCATGGGCGGCATGGGCAACATGGGCGGCGCGGGCGGCATGGGCATTGTGGGAGACATGGGTGATAATGGAATGGGGTTTGTGAACGGGACGGATAGGTGGGGAGGGAATGCGAGGTTCCTGGAGAGGCAGCAGGGGGGTGTGAGCATGCGAGGGCAGGAGCAGAGAGGGGCACTTGTTGACTCGCCTCTCAAGAGGTTGCTCGAAAGACAGCAGGGTTACGTGAGCATGGGAGATGGGCAGGAGCAGAGAGAGGCTCTGGCGCTGTGGCAGAGGCATGCACAGGGGGAAAGTGATGGGCAGGGCGGTGGGGTTGCAGGGAGGGAGTTGAGGGTGGAGAGGGAGCAGGGGAACAGGGAGAGGCAGGAGAGGGAGCGGTTTTGGGAGGATGGGGTTGCACGGTGGGAGATTCGGTGGGAGGACATTCAGCTGGGGCAGGAGGTTGGGCACGGTGAGTTGCGTTTCATACCTGAATAGCTTTATTCTAAAGCACGCGCACCTAGCCTCAGATGGGGCTATGTGCGCCTATTCCGTCATTCACATCCTTTCATGCATGCATGCCACTTTCGCTTCTTAAATTTCGCTCCTCTCACTGCATTATCCTCTCACCTCTTATGCACCGGTTGTGATGTTTGTTTGTACCTGTCCAATACTGCAGGTGCATGTGGCACGGTCTATCACGGCACCTGGAACGGCTCGGTAAGTGCACTACTCACATTTCCCCTTTGCATCCGCAGCTTCTTTCCTTCTCTTTTCCTCCGTTTCTGAAGCTAATCACGGCACCTGGTTGGGCTCCGTGAGTGCTTCACCTTGTAGTTTTCCAGTGCCTTTACTCACCTTACAACACCACCATTTCGTTCTCTTAGTCCGACCATCGTTTCTCCCTTGTTTGCCTTCACTGTTTTTCTCTCTGCTGACAGGATGTGGCAGTGAAGGTGTTTGCACGGCATGACATCAGTGCTGACTTCATGCACGACTTCAAGAAAGAGGTACTTCTCTTCAGAACTGTTGTCCTTACACCTGCCTGAAATCGGTTTGGCTCTTTTTGAGAAAAATAGAGTGTGCTCTAATTCTGCGTGTGTACACCCCAGAGAGCAGTACACCCCAGAGAGCAGTACACCCCAGAGAGCAGTGCACCCCAGAGAGCAGTGCACCCCAGAGAGCAGTACACCCCAGAGAGCAGTACACCCCAGAGAGCAGTACACCCCAGAGAGCAGTACACCCCAGAGAGCAGTACACCCCAGAGAGCAGTACACCCCAGAACTGCTCTCTGCGTTTTAAGGCATTGTACCACCGAGGCTAGGCAGGGGTGTGTCTTGTCCCCTCGTGTGCCATGCTCTTACCTTTCTTATCTCCATGGGTTCCTGTCCTCTCATGCCCGTTCCCACATCCTTCACCCCCTTCATCCCTTTATTCAGATCCGCATAATGGAGAAGCTGCGGCATCCCAACATCCTGCTATTCATGGGAGTAGTGGCCTCTCTCAACCATCTCGCCATTGTCACCGAGTTCCTTCCCCGCGGCAGTCTCATTCTCTTCCTCCCCACTGTTCCCCCACCCCCTCATCCCCCCCTCCCACCCCCATTCCTTTCCCCCGCAGATCCGCATAATGGAGAAGCTGCGGCATCCCAACATCCTGCTATTCATGGGAGCTGTAGCCTCCTTGGACCATCTCGCCATAGTTACAGAGTTCCTCCCCCGCGGGAGTCTCTTTCGTCTGCTGCACCGCCGCACCGCAGGGCTCACCCGCCTACGGCTCTTGCGCATGGCACTGGATGTGGTGAGTTGTGCTTGTGCTTCTTCTGTAGAACACGTTTGTATGTCGCTACAGGCCGCTGTGAGTTCCTCCCCCGTGGCAGTCTCTTCCGTCTGCTGCACCGCGGGGCTCACTCGCCTGCGACTGCTGCGCATGGCTCTCGACGTCGTGAGTTGCATCGCTTGACTGCACGTCCTACCATGTGTCCTCTCCACCTACCACTGCATCGCTTGACTGCACGTCCTACCATGTGTCCTCTCCACCTACCACTGCATCGCTTGACTGCACGTCCTACCATGTGTCCTCTCCACCTACCACTGCATCGCTTGACTGCACGTCCTACCATGTGTCCTCTCCACCTACCACTGCATCGCTTGACTGCACGTCCTACCATGTGTCCTCTCCACCTACCACTGCATCGCTTGACTGCACGTCCTACCATGTGTCCTCTCCACCTACCACTGCATCGCTTGACTGCACGTCCTACCATGTGTCCTCTCCACCTACCACTGCATCGCTTGACTGCACGTCCTACCATGTGTCCTCTCCACCTACCACTGCATCGCTTGACTGCACGTCCTACCATGTGTCCTCTCCACCTACCACTGCATCGCTTGACTGCACGTCCTACCATGTGTCCTCTCCACCTACCACTGCATCGCTTGACTGCACGTCCTACCATGTGTCCTCTCCACCTACCACTGCATCGCTTGACTGCACGTCCTACCATGTGTCCTCTCCACCTACCACTGCATCGCTTGACTGCACGTCCTACCATGTGTCCTCTCCACCTACCACTGCATCGCTTGACTGCACGTCCTACCATGTGTCCTCTCCACCTACCACTGCATCGCTTGACTGCACGTCCTACCATGTGTCCTCTCCACCTACCACTGCATCGCTTGACTGCACGTCCTACCATGTGTCCTCTCCACCTACCACTGCATCGCTTGACTGCACGTCCTACCATGTGTCCTCTCCACCTACCACTGCATCGCTTGACTGCACGTCCTACCATGTGTCCTCTCCACCTACCACTGCATCGCTTGACTGCACGTCCTACCATGTGTCCTCTCCACCTACCACTGCATCGCTTGACTGCACGTCCTACCATGTGTCCTCTCCACCTACCACTGCATCGCTTGACTGCACGTCCTACCATGTGTCCTCTCCACCTACCACTGCATCGCTTGACTGCACGTCCTACCATGTGTCCTCTCCACCTACCACTGCATCGCTTGACTGCACGTCCTACCATGTGTCCTCTCCACCTACCACTGCATCGCTTGACTGCACGTCCTACCATGTGTCCTCTCCACCTACCACTGCATCGCTTGACTGCACGTCCTACCATGTGTCCTCTCCACCTACCACTGCATCGCTTGACTGCACGTCCTACCATGTGTCCTCTCCACCTACCACTGCATCGCTTGACTGCACGTCCTACCATGTGTCCTCTCCACCTACCACTGCATCGCTTGACTGCACGTCCTACCATGTGTCCTCTCCACCTACCACTGCATCGCTTGACTGCACGTCCTACCATGTGTCCTCTCCACCTACCACTGCATCGCTTGACTGCACGTCCTACCATGTGTCCTCTCCACCTACCACTGCATCGCTTGACTGCACGTCCTACCATGTGTCCTCTCCACCTACCACTGCATCGCTTGACTGCACGTCCTACCATGTGTCCTCTCCACCTACCACTGCATCGCTTGACTGCACGTCCTACCATGTGTCCTCTCCACCTACCACTGCATCGCTTGACTGCACGTCCTACCATGTGTCCTCTCCACCTACCACTGCATCGCTTGACTGCACGTCCTACCATGTGTCCTCTCCACCTACCACTGCATCGCTTGACTGCACGTCCTACCATGTGTCCTCTCCACCTACCACTGCATCGCTTGACTGCACGTCCTACCATGTGTCCTCTCCACCTACCACTGCATCGCTTGACTGCACGTCCTACCATGTGTCCTCTCCACCTACCACTGCATCGCTTGACTGCACGTCCTACCATGTGTCCTCTCCACCTACCACTGCATCGCTTGACTGCACGTCCTACCATGTGTCCTCTCCACCTACCACTGCATCGCTTGACTGCACGTCCTACCATGTGTCCTCTCCACCTACCACTGCATCGCTGCGACCTGCTGCTGTGATTTCCTCCCCCGGATCAGTCTCTTCCGCCTGCTGCACCGCCGCACCGCAGGGCGCACCGTCTTTTGAGTCGACTCAAAACGGCTCACCCGTCTGCCACTGCTGGCACGAAGAGTAACCATCTGCTTCTGGTCAAGCGCCCCCTCTTGCCTTTCACCCCGTCCCCATCCCCCACGCGTGTACTACGTTAGCAGAATCATCAGTGATCAAGCATCGAGTTACTTATTCCATCTTCCTCATTCCTCATTCCCATTCTCCCCATCTTTCCTCCCCCTCAGGCGCGAGGAGTGAATTACCTGCACAAGTGCTCGCCCCCTGTAGTGCACCATGATCTCAAGTCCGCCAACCTACTCGTTGACAGGAACTGGACCGTCAAGGTATGCCCCCTGATAAGCAGTTCTATCTGTGGAGCAAGGCAGGTACTGGACTGGACGTACTGATTTTTGGCAAACCAACGTTATTCAACTGGCAAGTTTGTGACTGAACATACTGATTTTTGGTCCGATGTCAACGTCCGCCCTGCCATTCATTGCCATGCTCTGCTCACATGTCTTTCCAATGCCTGACTGTGTTGGCATGATTTCCGCCTCCTATGTGTCTGTCTGGCGTCTGCAAGTGGGAGACTTCGGGTTGAGCAAGATGAAGTTTGCCACATACCTCTCAGCCCGCTCCGGCCGCGTAACGATTCTTTTGGAGATGTCTCAAAAATGTATCTCTCCTGCTACATGTCTGTCTGCCTGTCTGCAGGTGGGCGACTTTGGGCTGAGCAAGATGAAGTTTGCCACGTACCTCTCAGCCCGCTCCGGCCGGGGAACAGTGCGTTTCTTCCCCGTTTGCCTTTGTTCTGATGATTTTGGGTTGGCGTCTCTGTTAGGATTGCCGCTTCTCGTGCTCCCCTTGTTCCTTCTTGTTGGCATCTTGCTGGCTGGCTTTTCTTTCCTCTTCCCACACTCATTGCTTCTCACTCCTCCGATGTGCCCTCTCCTGCTCCCTCCAACCTCACCAGCCCCAGTGGATGGCACCAGAGGTCCTGCGCAACGAGCCGTCCAATGAGAAGTGAGTTAGAAGAAGTGAGAAGTGAGTTAGAAGAATTGAGAAGTGAGTGATGTGGATGCATCGTTCCATGCTGCTGGAGTGATGTGAGTGAGTGAAGTGTGCCTGCATTGCTTTGCTTCAGAGCAATGCCGTGCGCAGGCAGATGTCCTGCCTGTCGATTCGAGTCTGTCTCTCAGGGTTGAATGTTACTGTCACTCGTGTTGTAATGCTTCATGCCTCCCTTCTCTGAATCCAACTTTGAGGAAACTGTTACCGGAACAATCTGTGTTGGCGGGAGATGTTTTGATGGGTGCATTGTGTTCTATCTGTGCCCAATTCCTGCTGAATTTTGTGCAAGTGAGCCCAGTTCTTTATCTAATGCTCATGCTCTCATGACTCCATCTCCGATTTGCAAGCTCTGGAAATGTCTCAAAAGTTTGTTTCCCGTATACGGTGTGCTTATACTGTGCGTGGTAACCCATCTATGCAGGTCCGATGTTTACAGCTTTGGAGTGGTTCTCTGGGAGATGGCAACACGCCAAGTGCCATGGGAGGGGATGAACCCCATGCAGGTCGTGGGGGCCGTGGGATTGTTCTAAACAACTTTTCCCGTTCCCCGTGCCATGCTTTCCATGCAGGTCGGACGTGTACAGCTTTGGGGTGGTGTTCTGGGAGATGGCAACACGGCAAGTGCCCTGGGAGGGGATGAACCCCATGCAGGTCGTGGGGGCCGTGGGATTCCTGGAGCAGCAGCTGCCTCTGCCGCCCTCCATCGACCCAGCCATGAGGCTTCTCATCTCCGACTGCTGGCGCAGGTAAAGCCGGGGCAGGCGTGACTGGGGCAAGTGGGAGTGAGTGATGGGGATTCTCGAGACAGGCTCATACAGCTGCCTCTGCCTCCCCCCATCGACCCTGCTATGAGGCTTCTCATGTCCAGACTGCTGGCGCAGGTACGGCTGGGGGAAGTAGTTTTTTGGAAGGTGCAATAGGGGCTGATGCGACTGCAGCAGATGGAAGTGGGGCAGGTGAGGTTTCAAGGTGAAGTCGCTTGGTTGCAAGGCACTGCTCTGAGAATCAAATACCAGTTGCTGATCTTTGCCTATCTAATCACGCCCTTGTACCTCTCTTGCTCCTCCCTCTCTCCTTGCCCCCAGCCCTAACGAGCGGCCATCGTTCGATGAGATCACATCAAGACTGAAGATCATGGTACAGGAACAAGAGCAGCAGCAGATGGATGGAAGGCGAGTGTAGAAAATTAATGGAGCGCCTGAAGAATCAGGAACAGGGATAATATCAGGTGGAAGGCAGGCCAGTGTTTGGTTGGATCAGCTTGAGATTGAAGAAGATGGTGTAGAAGCAAGAGCAGCAGATGGATGGAAGACGGGCGTGAGTGACTGTTGCGGGGTAGAAACAGGTGCATGAACAGCATGAACAGGCGGAACAGCTGGTGGAGGGTAGGCCATCGTTTGATGAGATTAGGTCAAGACTGATGGGCATGGTGCAGGAGTAAGAGCAGCAGGAGGATGAAAGTCGGGCGTGAGTGACTGGTGAAGGGCAGAAAAAGGTGAAACAGCAGGAACAGCCGGAACAGCAGGTGGAAAGGATTCTAGGTGTAGCTGGTCGGAATGACTCGAACCCTCTGCTGGTGGATTGTAGACAAAGGAAGGCAGGCAGGTATTAGCATAATAGTTTTCTACCTAGAAGTAGGGTATAGAGAATAGGAGTAGTTCTGACATTTAGTGTACATAAGTAGTCCATCCATGGCTTGTTATGTGTTGGTACTGCTTTCAGAAGTTTGTGGATGCAAAAACTAGGTAGTAGTTGTGTTACGTATGTGCTTTGCTATTGTAACATATGCAGGAGTTGAACCATTGTTCAAATTTTGTGTTACATGTACCCCAATAATTTACACATTTCATCAGCTACCGTACTTCTTTTCATGTTGTAACAACTCTTGTTGACTTCTGTCCCAGCAGCAAACATGATTGTGGCTGAATCACTATCCCCGACAAATTGTGGGTTGAATCGATGCTACGGGAAGATGAGGCAGCTTTATGATGAAAAAAATTGGGGGCCTGTAATACTCCAAATTGTATACTGCAGCCATATATATACATTTGCACACGGTAGAATCTCAGCTGTACACATCTACTACTGTAGAATCTCAATTATATACATTCATTGACAAACTGTAGTATCCCAATTGTATACCCTCATTGGCAAACAGTAGTATCTCACAGTATACATTCAGCGCAAGTACACGTACTAAAGGGAAAAGCGGAGTCCACCCAACCCCCCCCCCCCCCCCCACCCCCCCCCCCCCCCCCCCCTCCCCCCCAACTCGCACCAGAACTGCTTCCACTTTGCTGCTTTTGCTCTACTGCTGTCACCCTGCTCCATGCACTCTGCTCCTCCAAGTTACAGTGTCTAACAGCAACTGTGTTAAGCCTACCAGTATCGTGCAACAGGGTCCTCCAATCTACCGCGCCACAGCAAACCTCTGCTTCACCTTCCTCCAAACCATTCGGTCAGGCCCCACCTTTTCCCCTCCACCTGTAAACTATGCAACAGGCCCTTCCATGCAGGCCCCTCCACACACGCCCTACTGTGCCACAGCAACCCTCCGCTGCACTCTCCTCCTAACCACCCACTTCGCCCGCACCTTCTGGCTGGTCCTTTGCTGATCTTAAACTTGCTTCTCCCCCACCCCCCCCCCCCCCCAACCCACCTGTACACTATGCAACAAGCACTCGCCCATACACAAGCCCCTCCACACAGGCCCTACCGGGCCACGCTAACCTTGCGTTTCACTTTCCTCCGAACCACCCGGTCAGCCCCCCCCTTCTCCCCTCCACCTTCACCACCTCTTCCCTCCCCTTCCCCCTTCCCTGACACTTTCCTCACACCACGCCGCCTCGCCCCCACCGTCCCTTTGACTCTCCTCTTGCTGCCCCAGAACCCGAGGAATTGAAGTAGGGATGAGAACGTGGGCCTGCTGCCGAGCCTCTTCCCCGAGCCTGCAAGCGAGGGTCGGTGGTAGGCCCGGTGCTCTGCCTGTGCCTGCTGCACGGATTCGCTGTCCAGCCCGAGCCAGGAGAGGCGGGATGGCTCGCCCAGCAGTATGTTGCCGACCCTGAGGAAGAGGTTCGGAAAGGAGGCGCATTTGGAAAACAGATTTAGGATCAGAGCGGTTACAACAAGAAAATATTTACACCATCTTGCACCACTCTACACCATTAATAATGCAGCACCACCTCACACATAAACTCAGAGGCCAACTCTCACAGCGACTCACGGTAACGCAGGATGGCGACAGGGATGTGATGTGACTCACACGAGACGACTCATGACTGAGTGAACTCAGCAGTCAGCCCCAAATCGCGTCTCACCTTAATGCAGTGGTGCCGAGGATGGTCACAGGGATGTGGTTGAAATGGAGGATGGGCACCTGGTCTTCCCCATACAGCAGTGGATACCGAAGGATCCATGGATGGTCACAGGGATGGAGTCAACAGACTAGAATGCAGGGTCTCAGAACCTCTCACCTTAAGGCAGTGGTGCCGAGGACGGCTACAGGGATGTCGCAGGGGAGTCAACTGACCTAATGGTGAGCTCTCCCAGTGTCTCACCTCAGGATAGTGGTGCCGAGGATGGCGACAGGGATGTGGTTGAAATGCTCCAGCAGCACCCTGTCCGCCCCATACAGCAGCTGATACCGAAGGTTTCCCGAAAGTCCCGTGAACGCGCCGAACGCTACAGCCGATTTTGCTGGCGACGGCACTGCTACAGATGGCTGATACTGATCCGCCTCCCCACTCCCTCCGGATAATTCTCCTCCTTTCTTTTGTGGCTCTCCTGCTGTTTCCCTCGTCCTCCCTTGCATCCCTTTCAATATAGCGTTTGAAACTGCCCCACCAGCAGCACCCACCGCCGAGCCAATCACGCTCAGCCGGGCAGCGTTGAAGAAGAAACTGCCCACCCGCTCGGGCAGCTTGAATTCCCGGAGCGCGTAGCTGCGATCAAAAACATTATTGGGCAGTTTTTGCAGCACCATTTGAAACTCATTAGTGGCAGTAGAGCTGTAGGATCGAGAGGGGGAGAGGCACCATACAAGTGCCAGGTTGCAGAGGGAGAGAGTGACGACGTTGGTAAGGGCTAGGGGCCATTCCTGATTAAGTTTTGTCTTCCAGTCCTGGCCGTCCTGTCCGTTCTGCTGCCCGTTCTGCCCGTTTGGCTGCCCGCGCCGCTGCTGCACCTCCCAACGCACTGCTGTGGCGACGGTGGCTGCTTGCTCGAGAGCGAGTTTGAAGAGGAAGGCCGGGTCTGCCATCATTCTGAGTGGTTGAGGGGGGTAGTGGGGAGTGTGGAAGGATGTGGAAGGGAGGAAGGAAGTGGGGTGACTTGCACTGGAATGTATTTTGTGTTTTTTCGTAAGAAAGCATACCCATGGGGATGTCCTAGAGGCATGGATGGAAACAGGGGAGTGACCAACACACCCACCACACACACCTTCCAATGAAGGCACGGGAGAGCTCAGGAGGGGCGAGGCGGGAGACGAATCTCGCAATGGTGGGGCGCGCATCCATGCTCATGAGCCGCGCCACCTGCGCTGAACTCACCACGCCCTGGGGGGGGGGGGGGGGGGGGGGGGGGGTTGGAAGGGGAAGGCAGAAGGCACATGTCAAGCCAGAGGGAAAGGAAATCTAGGGAAAGGGGGAGGGTTCATGTCACGCAATGGTGGGGCGCGCATCCATGCTCGTGAGACGCTCCACCTGCGCTGAACTCACCACGCCCTGGGAGAAATCAGGAAGGGGGGGTTGAGAGCAGGGAGGGGGAATGCAGAAGGCACAAGTGAAAGGGACGAAAGAGGTCCTTGCATGTCCTTCAACTTCTGCCTTTTGAGTCGACTCGAAAGTCACATTTTTAAGTCGACTCAAAAGTCACATTTTTAAGTCGACTCAAAAGTCACCTTTTTGAGTCGACTCAAAAGGGACGAAAGAGGTCCTTGCATGTCCTTCAACTTCTGCCTCATGACTAGCTGGTGGCCGCGCGTCCATGCTCATGGGACGCGCCACCTTTGCTGAACTTGCCACGCTCACAACCACTCACCGCCACTCACCATCTCCACAGCGCGCCGAATCCCAGCAGGTAAATCCGCCATGGTTCGAAACCACTCCTCCAACACCACCTGCACGGACGCGCGGTCAAACGCCTCCCAGTTTCTCAACAAGTCACTCATACTCGCCACCACCACTCACCACCGCTCACAACCGCTCACAACCGCTCACAACCGCTCAGAAATGCTCACCATTTCCATAGCTCGCCGTATCCCAGCGTTCGAAACCACTCCTCCAACACCGCCTGCACCAACGTGCGGTCAAACGCCTCCCCGTTTCTCAACAAGTCACGATTTCTGACCAACACCGCTCACAACCACTCACCACCGCTCACCATCTCCACAGCCCTTCTGATCCCAGCGGGAAGGTCCGCCATGGTCCTGAACCACTCCTCCAGCACTGCCTGCACGGACGCGCGGTCAAACACCTCCCAGTTCCACAACAAGTCATTATTACTCACCACCACCACTCAACACCGCTCACCACCGCTCACAACCGCTCACCATTTCCACAGCTCGTCTGATCCCTGCCGGAAGGTCTGCCATGGTTCGGAACCACTCTTCCAGCACCGCCTGCACGGACGCGCGGTCAAACACTTCCGCGACGACCGCGCGACGGATGAACCCGTCGTCGTCGCCGTCGTCGCCGTCGTCCTCGCCGAAATAGTCGTCGTCGTCGCCCCCGTCGTCGCCGCCGTCGCCGCCCCCGTGCCCGATTCCTTTACCGATGTTGCCGCCGCCTCCCCCAAGCTCCACCTGGGAAAGAGAGATCATAAAGGCACAGAAGGTGGTGATTCCCTTCAAAACGTCGCACGGGGAATGCATTTATGTTATAGAGCAAATTGGGGGAAAAATGGAGGGTGGGATCAGGCGGACGAGACAATGAGCTCGACTCGCCTAGTATCTGGGTGCTTCACCTGCGCGCCGGTTTTGGCGGTGGAGAATGAGAGGTCGAGCTTCGACTTCTCCAGAGTGGCGCCGCCAAACGCGCCGTAGCCCTTTTTCATTACGGGAACCATCATCCGGCCCGCGGGCACCGGAGGAAAATCGGACGTCCCTCCTTCGCCCTTCTCCTGACCCTGACCTTGCTCCCCCGCCAAACCCGCTCCTCCTCCCGCCGCCGCGACCGATACCCCCCTCGTCTGACTAGAACGACCGCGCTTGTAGATTTTGCGTGAAATACTGGGAGGATATTTTTGGACAACACTTTGTGACAGGAGCGTCGGGCCGGACGCGAAAGCCAGGGACGGGATTCGAGAAGGCGGGAGAAAAGACGAGTGCATAGCGGAAGGAGGTGAGGACGACGTGTGGCTTTTGGGATACTTTACGTGCTGAGCGAACGAGGTATTTGGTTGGAGTAGCATGGCTGGTCCTACGGGCAGACGCGCCGCCATGCTCGTACTACTAGGCGGAAAGTACCGTATTCTAGATTTCTGGCGCTTGAGCAGTTTCGAAACAGCTCTTGAAAATTTTCCTAGTCGGAGAATGACCCGCTTTGGCCGACGCAGCTAAAAACGGATGCTGTGAACAAAGAACGAATGAAGTAAGTCAATTTCTCCTTATAGCTAAGCTCAGCTTGGCTTGGCCTTGCTTGCGTCGAAAACTGGTTTGGAGCAAGGTGGGATGGAAGGGAAGGGACATGCCGAATGGAAGCGAATGCACGGGCCTTGAGATGGTGATTGTGATGTGACCCTAGGGATTTGCGTCACGCGATGTCAGGCGCTTGGGAATGTCGAAATGAACGAAAACAAAGTTACGAATTGTTTGGGAAGACACGGGCAGTTTCGAACGTTCGTGAAATTTCTGGAATTTTGTCGGATTGGACATTGGAATGGCTGAACATTGGACAGCAAACAAAGCTTGTGCCTTGTGGCAGCGAGGTTCAACCAATCATCAATTGTAGAATAACAAAAGATCGCCACGCGGGCAACCGAGACTCGCTGTAAAAGTGCAAAACCACGTGAAACCAGATCTTCTAGACTACTACCCGCTATTGACACTGTTCAATAAAGAACAAATAATAATATAACCCGTCTACAAGGGCATAATACAGCTACTTCTAACAGAAAAAATGCGAATTTAGTAACCAGACGGAATGGAAGCTGCTTGACTGCATAATGCGGGCTCCACATCTACTTTGCTTCACTACCTCACACGAAGCAAATAAGCCAGCAGGATGATGAACCATATAAGGGAAGACCGCAAACACCATATCCACTACTCGCTACTTCAAACGATTACCAACTTCTGGTTGGGTTGTGCGGACAGCCCAACATATTTGTGAAAGAGTTGAGTGATGGCAGTGACGTAGCGAGCATGAAAATCATCCACTGACTCTCCCTCCTCGGGGAAAAGTGGCTTGCCCACAACCACCAAGAGATCCCTGATTGGGTTGGGAGAGGCGGGAGGGAGGGGAAGGGGCGGGGAACAAAACCATTTCTAGGTAGCATATACTAAACTTTTTGGGGGAATAAGGAACACATGCTGCGAAGAAGCCCATTCAGGTTACCGAAAAGATTTCAGGTTTTCTCATAGGCATCATGCTTACCGTCTGAAGGGCAGGGTGAGGTTCCAGGCTCCACGCATGAAGGGCACTCCGATGTTGACGTGCCGGTTCACCTTCTCCCAGAACTGAAGGAACCACACTGGGTCGTGCTTGAAGAGCTGATGGGGACGTGGGAGCAGCGAGGAGTAGAAATGCAATTGGTGGGGAGTGAGAAAGAAGTGATTGTGCCGGCCAGTTGAACTTCTCCCAGAACTGAAGGAACCACACTGGGTCATGCTTGAAGAGCTGATGGGGAGGCGTATGTAGGGCACAAAGGGAAATAATGCATGTGGGGAGTAAGAATAAGTGATTGTGACGGTTCACCTTCTCCTGGAACTAAAGAAACCACACTGGGTCGTGCTTGAAGAGCTGATGGGGAGAACACAAGGGCAATGCATTAGGTGGACGAGAAAAGAGTGTTTGCTGCAGTCGACCTTTCCAAAATTTGAAGGAATTTGAAGGAAATCTGAAGGAATTTGAAGGAAATCTGAAGGAAACATGCAGAGCTAGCAAGATGAATGTGTGATCAGGCACGAGCGCAATTGTGAGGAACCAAGACAACGCAAAACAGTCATTCCTTTTTTCAAGACTCGAAAAGAAAGAACCAGAGCCATGGTTGGAAAATGCGAAGGCAAGACAAACAAGGAGCACATGGAAGGACAGGAGGTGGTGTGGGAGTGGATGCTTTGAGAAGGGGGTGTGAGAACGTGGGATTGCGAGGCAGAATTTAGAAGATTGATTACTATAACACCTCCCATTGTGGCTCGTGCATTCCAGGTAGAGCATTGCATGGCCTGCCAGTGACACATTCATACACACCTGGTTCTCATTGAAGCAGTAGATAGGGATGACCCCCACCTTCTCTTGCACTGCTATGCGCGCAAACCCCTTCCTGTTAACCCCACAACACCGGCACCACACACAAACCAACCAAACAACCAGGATCAGCACAAACGGAAGCAAATATGGGTCAAACGTATTTTACCAGCAACGCAAGAAACACAACAACATGAAGAGCAAAGCCTGAGACTCGCCCCCCCAGGCCACAATCCACAGCATTCTCGTCCAGACACTTTTCGCCTTCCATTTGAGCGACTCCAAACTCGCCCCCCAGGCCACAATCCACAATCCCCAGGCACTTTTCGCCTTCCTTCTTCTTTGTTACCCTCGTTCTCCGAACCCTTCTTCGCACGACTAAAACTACCAAAGTAACACACCGCCCGCCCATTTTCACCACCATTTCTCTAACCAGCAGTGTAAATGAGTACTTCCTAGGTAAACAGTTTCATACCTCCTCATCAAATACAGCTTGTCAGTGTGGGAAGTTGTGCCAAGGCAGACCTCCTTCAGGCCCCCAATCACAATGGCCATCTGCAGGGCAGTTCACGAGAGGGATTAGTTCAAGACGCGGATTAGTTCAAGCGGGGGATTAGTCCAAGAGGGATTGGAGTGTGTTTAGACGACAGAGGACGAACTTGTGGCGATTACCCATATACGGAGGTACAACAAGCACACACTGCGTGTCACCAGCACCCCTTGACGGCATGTTGGATTCATGATAAGCAACTCCACAAGACTCACGTGGTTCTTCTTCCTCAGCTCTTTCCGAATATTGGATTCACTGACAGGCATAGTGCCCAATAGGGAGAGAAAGTGGGTGGGTACCAAAAGTCCCTTTGTGAGCCTTGCCCCTTGGATTTTGGATTCGCTGGCAGGCATGGTCCCCAACAGGTACAGCAGGTAGGTAGGTGCCATACGTTGCTATGTGAACCATACGCCTCTCACTCAACGGTGCAAATACTCACGTGGTTCTTTTTCCTCAGCTCCTTCCGGATGTTGGATTCGCTGGCAGGCATGGTCCCCAGCAGGTAAAGCAGGTTGCGCAGCACTGGTACCGAGTAGAACCCTGCTGCCGCCCCGGCAAAGAAGTCACCTGAGGGACGCGGGAAGTGAAGTTCAAACTTTAAGCAAGCCTAAACGGCAGCAGTCTACGGGAACACTTTCTGGGGCCGAATGTTAGAGGTACGCACAAGCGACAACCCCCACCGGGGAGGGCACTTGAGAATGAGCATTCAACACACCTTTGGGGCAGAAGTTTTTTCTCCACTCGTAGTTCGTCTGGATCATCATAGTGTTGGTGTAGAACATCCGGCCGTGTGGATGGAACGCGAAGATGTATGCACTATCGGGGATGAGATCCTTGGGGGCGATGTAGCGCACCCGCTTCATGTAATATGCGAGGGCCTCGTACAGGAACTGGTAAAGGGTGGACGAAAGAAATAGAATGAGTTTTGTGAAAACGATAAGCCAGGGCCGTGAACAAGAAATATTAACGAATGGACGAAAGCGATGGTGAGCTACATAGGAAACGCGTAAGGCGATATCGGGGACAAGATCCTTAAGTGCGACGTAGCGCACCCGCTTCTTGTAACAATAATCGTCTGGTCGCTTGTGAGAGACCTCAACAAGGTCAAGAAGCGCCATATCAATAACAGTTGACTGATTCATTCATGTTCCTTCGCTCAAACCACTGGTCACAACGGGTCGTTATCCAGAACGTCCGCTAAACGTTGAAGGCTCAGAGGTTCCTTCACGTTAAATGAAACTTGGCCAAAATAATGGGAGCACGTATCATGGCACGACGGAAAAGGTGACCACATGCGATACGCCATGGCTCGCTCATGACAGAAAAGACGAATGGAGAGCCGCAGCGTTAGCGGCACTTTATAAATAATATGCCCCCGATTACTTTATGTGACATCCCCATTATCACAATGTTTTTTTCTCGTGATTCAAGCTCTTCACTTACGACGAGGCGTCGGCGAATGGAGCGATTGTAGAAGGGCGGACAGACCGCGAGGAAGAAAAGGACGACCGTTGCTAGAATTGGACCCCACCAACCCAGCATCCTGCAAGAAACGTGACAGTGCGCCGCGACAGTGGTGGTCGGTCAACAGGGATCCAGACTTTGAGCAATGCAGGAGATCTCACGTGAAGACAGACGGAGAATGCCCCGAGAACAAGATACTGTGATGAGGACCAGTTGGTAATGAGGAAGTGTTAGTGATGATGGCCGTTTTGAAACGGATAATGGTTACAGCAGTCATTGGAAAACTTACTGGTATACAAGGTAGTAGTTGAGAATGGTGTTGACGATAGGCATGAGTGTGAACGGAATCATGTGGTAGCAGTAGACAATGAGAAGGTCCGATAAACGCATCGGCCGTGGCTTCACCATATCGCGGATCTCCATGCCATCCTTTTCTAGAAGCTTCGACAGCTCCGCCTCGTCTTTCCCATCCTCCGGCGTGTATCTAAACTCGTCTTTATACTCGTCCTGAACAGGCTGAGAAGCAGCTCGCCGGACAACGGTGCTTTTGGGGTCTGATCCGTCCACGCCGTTTGAAACGCTCGTCTGCATTGTTGTGGCCACGTTGGGGCTCATGGCAATAGAAACCTTGGTCTGACCGTGATACGTCACGGTAAGCTGCCTACCGCGAGTGTCTCACCTCTTCGGCAGGTGAGATAAGCTTACCCAGCGCTTCGCCTAACCCAACACAACGTAAGAGAAGCAGATCCTAGGGTCATACAAAAAAGTTATAGCTTCCTATCCTTCCGTTGGCAGTTGTTCTGCTGTGTGTTGTGCATCTCGGAAATGGTTTCAGATCGCAGAAATGGACGGTGCCGCTGGCTCGAGCTCTGGTGATGAAATCGTAACCATTGTGTTTCTGGAGGGAAAAAAGGGGTGCTACAGCTGTACTCCTTCGAGAACATCTAGGTGAGACTGAGCGTATGGACGGTGGAGATCAGCTGGATATCCTTGGTTGTTTGTTGTCCAGCCGAAACCACCTCGAGGTTGCTTTGTTCCCCGTGAAATGACAGTCGGTAGCTGTGACGTGGACATGGCGGGAAATTTTAAGCTCATGGATTCCGCTGATCTGGGTAAACAACTGGGGAAAGACAGCGCGGAGAGCGCTAGTCCACGGAAATAGGAAGCGATTGGAAGCGCAGGACCACATACTCGTCTCGAACGTATTCAATGATACGAAACAGGGAACTGCAATGCTTTGGCTAGAACACGAGAAATAGAACGTTAAACAACCAAATCCAACAACAATGTTTCAAAACAAATCTCAAGAGGTCTCTTGTTGCAAGAAAGGATTGGCTATTTCCTCTGTTCCATCTGTTGGAGCTATCAGCATCACCGCTGTTCCTCTGCATACCTGTGCACCAGCAAGAGGTGGGAAGTTTGACGGGAGGGTGAGGACGAGAGGAAGAGGAAGGTAACAGAAGATAAGGACCGTTACTTCTTAAGGGGGGTAGCACACAGCATCATGCACAGCACAAGGAGAGGGGGATGACATGCAGAAGAAACTGCACAAATGGATAGACAACAAAAGCAAGAGCTGCAGGATTGCAGCACGTACAGAAACACGGAGCGTGCTTACAATGAGCCCTAGCGGTCGTGTCTGCTCGGTCAGACGTAGGGGGTCCTCTGGATCTGTAGCGGGTGACGCAAAAGCGAGGACAACGGAGATCAGAGAGCAAGAAGGGTGATAACAGGAAGGGATAAGAAAAAACCAAACAGCCACCCATTCCCCTGACTTCCCCTGTATCAGAAATCCATCAGGTTGCTTGCTCACTGCAACTGAGAGCACAGTCCCTGAGCTTCCAGCACTTCTATCCTCTCACCATCCTCTCACCATCCTCTCACCATCCTCTCACCATCCTCTCACCATCCTCTCACCATCCTCTCACCATCCTCTCACCATCCTCTCACCATCCTCTCACCATCCTCTCACCATCCTCTCACCATCCTCTCACCATCCTCTCGCCCTTCTTGCACTCCGCTCGCCCTGGACATATGTTCATTCCTTCCAAACAGCTTTCTTTCACAACAACCACACTTCCACACTGGACTGAATCTAGCACGCCTCCTCTTCCTCGTCTTTCAGCATAACATGCCATCCCACAGCATCCTTTACAATCCCCACTCGCCTCTTCTAGCCCAAGCCCCATACTCAGTGCCTCATCTAATACCACTTCCACGCCTCACCGCCCTCCACCCTTTCAGACCCCCCTCAACTCGTCCCAACATCTCCCATTGCACATCTCTCATAATCCACTGCAGTATCCACATTGACCAGCCGGCCATACCCCTTCAGCATTAAGTTATACAACCATAACACTCCGCCACCTCCCCACCTTCTTCCCCCTTTTCTCCACCCTTCTCCAACCAATCGCCCCAGCCTTCTCTCCCTCCTCCCACCAGCCCTTCTCCCCACTTCCCCGCTCCCTCTTTCTCCCCCCCTACCTCACTCATACCTAACTGCCTCATCCACCACCAGACAGGTGAATCAGCTGGTCCCTTCCCGCCCTCCTTCCCCCCCTTGCAACCAGCTGGTAACCTTCCGTTATCACCCAACACTGCCCCGCCCTCTTCCCACCCTTGCAATTCTCCCCCCTCCCCACCGCACTCCTTCCCTACCTCGCTCATACTCCACCGCCTCGTCCAGCACCAGGTTGATCAGCTGGTCGCACCCCTTCAGTTATCACAACCTCTCTCCCCCACCCCCGGTCTTCTCCCCTTCCACACCAGCTTTCTCTTCACCATGCACACCACCCTTCCCTCTCCCATGCCCTTTCTCCCACCTACCTCGCTCATACTCCACCGCCTCGTCCAGCACCAGGTTGATCAGCTGGTCGTACCCTTTCAGTTATCAGTGCACAATAAATCAAAACACTAACACCATCCCGCCTGGCTCCTGCCCTCTCTACCTTTCCCCTCCCTCCCCCTCCCCCCCCCCCCCCCCTTACCTCGCTCATACTCCACCGCCTCGTCCAGCACCAGGTTAATCAGCTGGTCGTACCCCTTCAGTTCTCACAACCCCTTCCCCACCTGCCCCTTTTCCCCCTTCCGCACCAACCTTTCCCGTGACCTTCCCTCCCTTACCTCGCTCATAGTCCACCGCCCCGTCCAGCACCAGGTTGATCAGCTGGTCGTACCCTGTACGGTGATCACCTAACACTGACTTCGCCCCCCCCCCGTCTTCTCACCCGATCCCTTCCCCCCCCTTCCCTTCCCAACCGACTGACTTCTCCCCCGTACCTCGCTCATACTCCACCGCCTCGTCCAGCACCAGGTTGATCAGCTGGTCGTATCCCTTCAGCGTGCCCATCACTGGTTGGGGGAAGGGGGGAGGGGGAGGAAAGGGAGGCGGGGGGTTGGCGGGGGAGGTAGGGTGAGGAAGGGGGAGGTAGCGTGAGGAGGGGGGACGAGTGGGGGAGGTAGGGTGAGTAAGGAAAAAGAGGGGGAAAGGTACGGTGAGGAAGGGGGAAGAGGGGGGGAGGTAGGGTGAGTAAGGAAAAAGAGGGGGAGAGGTGGGGTGAGGAGGGGAAAAGAGGGGGAGAGGTAGGGTGAGGAGGAGGAAAGAGGGGGAGAGATGGGCAGCGGATGGCTGGCAAAGGGTGTTGATGGAATGGGGGGAATCGGTTAAGAGCATTTGGGGAACTTCGAGAGGAGGAAAGGGAGGGGGTTGTTTCTCTGGGAAAGGAGAGGGGCAATTAAGCGTTGAAACGTTCCGAGGACGAAAATGGGCATGACATTTAAACATATACATGGATTAGTTGGGATCACCTGTCAAACCAGCCAGCCAGCCAGCTCGTCAGTTCCTAGCATCTGGACCCCGCTTATAATCACACTGATTCTCACGCACACTCCCTATAATCACCTTGTCGTCCCCCGTTAAGCTTCACGCACACCCCCTTATCCACCAGCCTCGCTAAGTCCAGCACTGTTTCCTTGCGACCCGACTGCCACAAATGGGGCAGAGCATAAAGGGGACGACGGGCTGGTTACTATAAAGAGAGGCGAGGGAACAGAAACTTAGGCGATGATGGAGTTACCATAGGGAGAGGCGAGAGGGAGAAGGGAAGGGGCAAAAGAGGGAGGGGAAAGGGTCTGTGGAGGGGTGCGGTGGGAAAATCAATGGGAACGCTGAGGTGTCGTTACGACATTGTACAAGAGAATCTAGGTTACACTGTTTCCGTCGTCATTACATGCCTCCACGACTTGTCGTTTTCTAAAGCACGTTTGTAAAAGGGTGAAATTGCGGAAAGGAAGGCGAATTAGCGTACCATGTTTCGGGAACAGTAGGAATGGGGGTTCGCCGGAAGGAAAGGAAGATGCGGCAAAGCTTGACGAGGTGCCGTCGAAAGACCGAGAGATTTTTTCAGATACTCAGATGACTAGGCTGCCGTTCGGTGGAAACAGTTGAAGAGCGGATTCGGAGTCGAGACGGGAAACAAGGAAATCGAGATGCGCAGACCGTTGTTGAAAAAAATAAACGTGATGCAGCGACGAAGAAAGAATCGGAAAATCAGAGAAACAAGTAAATGGCTGGGCTCGTCTAGAAACGATTCTCTAAACTGCGGTTGTATTCCCGTGAAGGAGATTGATCAGTAACAGATATAAACCCAAATTTTCAAAGCTGCAGGATGAGTCTACATTTCTTTTTACTCGAAGCTGGAGCGTTGATATCGAGGATGTTTCCATCCTATAATTTCGGGTCGCTGATGATCCAGTCCGACGTGGCAGATAAGCAGCATCAGCGGGGAAAGTACACTGAGCCAAGGGCCCAATTTCAATACTGCTGCAAAACACTGATGTACCGAGACGACTTTTCAAAACTGGGACATTTCATTCACACCGAGAAGCAAAAACCCCCTTCAGGGATGCCTTTGTTCGATGTTTCAGGAGCCACATGATTTGAAACTTTTGCTGATCAACCTTGGTTCGGTGTTCCCTCGAATCTAGAGAATACCAACGGAACACGTCCGTAACCTATTTGTCACTCTGGTCCACTGTCGTCTCATTTTCTCCCATGCTCGAAGATTTCTAGGAGATTACGCCCCTCACATCACTATCATCACTATCATCACTATCAAGGCCAACTGCTGCTAACCAGTTAGCTTACTAGTTTCTTGTCCTAATCCTTATTCCTTTCACCACCCCAGAAGTCGCGTCGCTCGTTGCCGACGTTTCCCGCGCTCACTGTTTCTCGCTCGCGTCAGCCATGGCGGCCGTGTCGCTCCCGGTTCGCCTGTGCTCCGTGCCGTCCAGCCCTTCGTTCTCGCCCGGCGTCAGGCGGCAAGGGAGCCTTTCGCGACAGCATTCGCGACACTTTAAGGTACGCCTGGAAGCCTCGCACCGGCGCGCGAAATGATGTTGCGTATCGCCGGCGAATGATGTTATTCGACTGAGCGGCACACGTGTATTGTTAGCGTGTGCTGATTGGTTGACGTCCACTGCGCGGTGATAACAGCTGTTATCCTTTTTTCTTCAGTCACGTTTTGAGAAACACGAGAACTGACAATGAATGAACCAGCAGGTACAACAGATATGTGTGCCCTTAGTGCTATTCTTAGAAGCACCTGTTGTCCTTCTCTTTTGTTGTTGGTTTTTTTTGTTGGAGATACTACTTGTTTTTAAAACGCATACGAAAAAGTCGTCATAACACGCATGGTATTTGTCAAACCTGCACCGTGGCGCAGGATAACTCGTGTCAGCCCTGCGAGAAGCTGCTTCAGGAGCAGCGACGTCAGCAAGAGCTTCATGCGAAACCAAAAAACCGCGGTCTTGCCGCCGACAAACGCGCCGCCTCTCGCGGCTCCTCCGTCAGCATGGCCGCCGCTGGCGGCAGCAGCAGCAGCAGCGGCAGCGGCGCGAGCAGCAGCAAACCCGCGCCAAACGCGTCGGCTAACTCGGCTGCCAACACGGCGGCAAATGCGGCCGCCATGGCTCAGAAGTTCGTCAAGTCGGTGGAATCGGCGCCAGTCGTGCGGAGAGTCGACGCGTGGGCAGTTAAGAATAAGATCCCCAAAGAGCTCTCTCTAGCCTTGCTCTGGTCTGCGGCCGTGCTCTCTCTCGCTGCTGTCACACTCGTTTTAAGGTTCGTTTTCGGCCTGCTCCGAGTGGTGATCTCCGCCGTTGGAAACCTGTTCCGCAAGACTCCCGCTTCTGCTGCCACTGCTGCTCCTGCTGCTGCTTCTGCTGCTTCTCCGCCTTATGCTGCTGCGCCTCCCGCTGCCGCTGCTGCCGTTTCCGCCGTTGCCGTGACTCCCGCGGAGGCTGCGGCGCTGGTGACGGTGCCGACGGTTGAAGGGGTGCTGGAGGAGAGGGTGGAGGAGGAGGAGGCAGTCCGACAGCGATTGGTTGAGATGGAGATTAGGGAGAGGGAGGAGGCGAGGAAGAGAGAGGAGGAGAGGAGGAGGCAGGAAGCGGAGGAGGAGGAGAGGGAGAGAGTTGCGGCTGAGGTGAAAAGGAAGGAGGAGGAAGTGAGAAAGAGGGAGGAGGAGGAGAGGAGGGTGGAGGAGGAAGAGAGGAAGAAGGAGGAGGAAGCAGCTAGGGCGCGTGCGGAGGTAGAGGAGAGGGAGAAGAGAGAGGAGGAGGAAAAGAGGAAGAGGGAGGAGGAGGAGGAGGAAGACGCAAGACGGAAGGCAGAAGTTGCTGCAGCTGGGGCAGCAAAGGCGGAGAGGGAGGAGAGGGAGAAAAAGGATCAGGAGAAGAAAGATCAGGAGAAGGAGGAAAGGGAGAGGGAGGAGAGGGAGGAGATAGAGGAGAAGGCGAGGCAGTTGGAGGAGGCGTGGCAGGAGGAGAAGCGGCAGCGCGCCGAGCTGGTGGAGCAAGCCGTTGCTGACGTGGCACGCGCGTACGAGCGCAAGCTTGCTGAGCTGGAGGCGGCACATGAGGCTGAGGTGGCGGCGGTGCGGCAGGCCACGGAGGCGGGCGGGGTGATGGGTGACGGACAGGTGGAGGAGATGGCTCGACTCAGGGTGGGTGAGAGGGTGGGGGGATGAGAGAGTGGGTTGGTGAGGGAGGGTGGATGGGTGTGTGGGTTGATTGGGTGAGAGAGTGGAAGCGGGCTCTAAGGGGTGATGGGCGACGGACAGGTGGAGGAGATGGCTCGACTGAGGGTGGGTGAGAGGGTGGGTGGGTGAAAGGGTTGGGAGGTGAAAGGGTTGGGAGGTGAAAGGGTTGGGAGGTGAAAGCGTGGGTGAGTGGATGGGTAGGTTGTTGGATGGGTGGGCGGGGTGATGGGCGACGGACAGGTGGGGGAGATGGCTCGACTCAGTGTGAGTAAGGGAAGAGTGAGTGGTGGGGAGAGTGGAAGAGTGGGTGGGTGAAAGAGTCGGCCAGTGGACGGATTGGTGGTTGGATGTTTGAATGTTGTGTTGGGCAACGGATAGGTGGGGGAGATGGCAAGGGTTAGGGTGAGTTTGATAACGAGTGAGACCTCTTGGGTTGATGGGAGACGGACAGGTGGAAGTAATAGCTCGTTTGAGAGCGAGTGGGGTTTTGGGGTGGGCGGGCGAGTGGGCTGGTGGGTGAAAAACCGTGATCTGGGTGAACGGCGAGTGCGGTGGGCTGCAGAGGAGTTTTGAGGGCCTCAAAACTGGTGAACGGCGAGTTTGGGGGGGTGCAGAGGATCGCAGACCAGACAGGTGGAGGGGGGATGACACGACTGAGTGTGAGCTTGGGGATGAATGGTAGGGGGGAGGGGGGGTTTGCGGAGGAGGGTGCAAGTTAGGGAAGGGGCATGGCAGTGGCCAATGAATGGATGACAGCACGCCCCTTCTGGAAGTGGCATGGCAGTGGGCCAATGAATGGATGACAGCATGTCATAGCCATGTTGGAAATACGTTGCGAGGCGTCAGTTTCTTGACGCACGAAGAGCAAAAGAGGATGAGGAGCACAAGTGATGGATGAGGAGCACAAGTGATGGATGACGAGCACAAGTGATGGATGAGGAGCACAAGTGATGGATGAGGAGCACAAGTGATGGATGAGGAGCACAAGTGATGGATGAGGAGCACAAGTGATGGATGAGGAGCACAAGTGATGGATGAGGAGCACAAGTGATGGATGAGGAGCACAAGTGATGGATGAGGAGCACAAGTGATGGATGAGGAGCACAAGTGATGGATGAGGAGCACAAGTGATGGATGAGGAGCACAAGTGATGGATGAGGAGCACAAGTGATGGATGAGGAGCACAAGTGATGGATGAGGAGCACAAGTGATGGATGAGGAGCACAAGTGATGGATGAGGAGCACAAGTGATGGATGAGGAGCACAAGTGATGGATGAGGAGCACAAGTGATGGATGAGGAGCACAAGTGATGGATGAGGAGCACAAGTGATGGATGAGGAGCACAAGTGATGGATGAGGAGCACAAGTGATGGATGAGGAGCACAAGTGATGGATGAGGAGCACAAGTGATGGATGAGGAGCACAAGTGATGGATGAGGAGCACAAGTGATGGATGAGGAGCACAAGTGATGGATGAGGAGCACAAGTGATGGATGAGGAGCACAAGTGATGGATGAGGAGCACAAGTGATGGATGAGGAGCACAAGTGATGGATGAGGAGCACAAGTGATGGATGAGGAGCACAAGTGATGGATGAGGAGCACAAGTGATGGATGAGGAGCACAAGTGATGGATGAGGAGCACAAGTGATGGATGAGGAGCACAAGTGATGGATGAGGAGCACAAGTGATGGATGAGGAGCACAAGTGATGGATGAGGAGCACAAGTGATGGATGAGGAGCACAAGTGATGGATGAGGAGCACAAGTGATGGATGAGGAGCACAAGTGATGGATGAGGAGCACAAGTGATGGATGAGGAGCACAAGTGATGGATGAGGAGCACAAGTGATGGATGAGGAGCACAAGTGATGGATGAGGAGCACAAGTGATGGATGAGGAGCACAAGTGATGGATGAGGAGCACAAGTGATGGATGAGGAGCACAAGTGATGGATGAGGAGCACAAGTGATGGATGAGGAGCACAAGTGATGGATGAGGAGCACAAGTGATGGATGAGGAGCACAAGTGATGGATGAGGAGCACAAGTGATGGATGAGGAGCACAAGTGATGGATGAGGAGCACAAGTGATGGATGAGGAGCACAAGTGATGGATGAGGAGCACAAGTGATGGATGAGGAGCACAAGTGATGGATGAGGAGCACAAGTGATGGATGAGGAGCACAAGTGATGGATGAGGAGCACAAGTGATGGATGAGGAGCACAAGTGATGGATGAGATGAGGAGCACAAGTGATGGATGAGGAGCACAAGTGATGGATGAGGAGCACAAGTGATGGATGAGGAGCACAAGTGATGGATGAGGAGCACAAGTGATGGATGAGGAGCACAAGTGATGGATGAGGAGCACAAGTGATGGATGAGGAGCACAAGTGATGGATGAGGAGCACAAGTGATGGATGAGGAGCACAAGTGATGGATGAGGAGCACAAGTGATGGATGAGGAGCACAAGTGATGGATGAGGAGCACAAGTGATGGATGAGGAACACAAGGAGCACAAGTGATGGATGAGGAGCACAAGTGATGGATGAGGAGCACAAGTGATGGATGAGGAGCACAAGTGATGGATGAGGAGCACAAGTGATGGATGAGGAGCACAAGTGATGGATGAGGAGCACAAGTGATGGATGAGGAGCACAAGTGATGGATGAGGAACACAAGTGATGGATGAGGAGCACAAGTGATGGATGAGGAGCACAAGTGATGGATGAGGAGCACAAGTGATGGATGACGAGCACAAGAAGAACGCAGCATTCAAACCATTCGTCAACCTTGACTCACCTCGCCTTCCTCCCCACCCTTCCCTCTCCCTCCCGTTTCCCCACCCCTTCCTCCCACTCTTCAATCCTCCCTTCAGGAGGAAGCGGCGGAGTTACGGAGGGGCATGGCACTGGCCAAAGAGGTCGCAGAACAGGTGATGGATGAGGAGCAGAAGAAGACACGGGAGCTACCCTCACCTGCTCCGCCCCTCCACTTTCCCCTGCCCCTGCCACCCACAGGAGGAAGCGGCGGAGTTACGCCGAGGCATGGCACTGGCTAAGGAGGTTGCGGAACAAGTTATGGACGAGGAGCAGAAGAAGACACGGGAGATTCGGCAGCTGAAGGCATCTCTCAAGGAGGAGAAAGCGAGGATGGAGAGAGAGAGGGGGAAGCTGCAGGCGGAGAGGGAGGAGATGGAGAGAGAAGCAAAGGAGATAGAGGAGGAGAGGAGGAGGGTTGCGGATGAGTTGGCACGAGTGGAAGGGGAGAAGGCTGGGGTTGAGGCGGCGAGGAGTCAGGTGGAGGAGAGGAGGAGGCGGAGTGAGGCGGAGAAGGAGAGAGTGAAGGAGGCGAAGGTGAGGATGGGGGGGAGTAGGTCAGAGGAGCAACAACACGAGGTAGAGAAGGTGAGAGGGAGAGATTGGGGAAGGTGAGAGGAAGAGATGGGGGAAGAGGAGAGGGAGAGGAGGGTAGGCTGCTTTGGCTGGCTGAAATCAGATCATGTACTTGGTTCAAAGACGTGCCTTTGTTTTCCTCTTGTTTATTTCTTCTGGTCTCTGTCCTTCAAAATAACAACAGTCGATTCAGTCACCATATCAGCAAACTCACATATAAAAATTTAAACCAAAAAAAAAAAAAAAAGATAAAACTTGTCGACTCTGAAGCAACAAGCGTATGTGATTTGCTGTCCATGGCCTGATTGGTCCGGCACTAAGACTGTCAACGAAAACACATGATGTTCTGTACGGCATAGCATCATGCACCGCACAGCACCATACTATCTCACCTCACCTCGCACACTAACTTATCTCACTGCACTGCACCACACCTCCCAACTCCATGCCCCAGCAGTCAACAGCAGCAGAGGAGGGCCTTGCAACTGCGATCCTAGAGTGAGTCGTCTTCTCCTCAGAGGTTCATTTCAGGCTTAAGGTTCATTTCAGGCTTAAGGTTCATTTCAGGCTTAAGGTTCATTTCAGGCTTAAGGTTCATTTCGATCTTGAGGTACATTTCGGTCTTAAGGTTCATTCAGTTGGCAAGTCGTGAGTGAATATGCTGCCACCTCGTTTGCTGTCTTTGCTGCGTTCCGTTTGCTAGGTTATCGTCCCTGTTGTGCTTCTGCTGAGACTTTGTGAACCATCTGTCCTCCTTTCATCCCCAACCTTGAATCGCAGGGTGTTTTCAACCACTCAAGTATGTACTCAGCAACAAGCCTCTCTCGTTCCTTCCCTTACCTCCCATGACATTCCGCCTATTCAGGTACCAGCAGGAGCGCCAGCAGTACCAGCAGCAGATGGCATCCTCTGCAGAAGATTCCCAGAAGCTCACCTCCCGCGTGGCGCAGCTAGAATCCTACCTGGCGGAGCTCCGTGCCAGCCTGGAATCGTCCCAAGCTGAGCTGGACCGGACCAATCGGGAAGCAGAGGAGAACGATGCCCTGGCTGCTGAGCTGGAGGAGCTTCTTGAGGCTGCCCGGAAGGAACGGGATTCGGTCAACGTGGAAAGTTTTCAGCAGCTGACCGAGGAGCTGGCAGACGCTCAGGAGAGAATGGTAGAGGAGGGCCGGCAGCAGCAGGAGCGGGCGGCACAGCTGGCGGAAATGATGCAGAAGATGCCGAAAATCAAGGCTGAGCTGGCAACCACGCGGATGGAGCTGCGCCGGGAGCAAAACACGCGGGCAGCTGAGGTGGCATCCCTCTCAGCAGCACTAATCTCCGCAAAAGAGGAAGCCAAGGCTTTAAGAGAAGCAGCAGTGGGGGCAGAGGCGAGGGTGAGGGAGGAGCTGAAGCAAGCTGAAGATGCGTACAGGGCTGGGGTGGCGGCGACTAGAGAGCGCATGAGAACCAAGAACATTGTTCAAATGGGAAAGGCCCGACTAACAGCTCTGCAGCAACAGGTGGGCTGCCAGAGAAAGTCAGTGCTTCCACTTTGGCTTAAGAGAATTTTTATGGAAGGGTTTATCCAAGGGCTTTGCTTTCTGCCATTCTGATCTTCATGTATTTTCCTGAGTTCGCTCTCGGTATGCAAGTGCTGAGAGAGACTCTCAAGGAGGAGACAGAGAAGCTTCGGCATGCACGGGCTCAACCAAAGTAAGGATTGATTCGTGCAGAGAAAATCTGGGTGTACCTGGGTGCATCCATCCCAGCTGCTGATCATAATGAAATATTTGAAAAAATGAAGCACATTATGGTAGCAACCTTATTACATCAAAGCAGAAAGTCAGTAGAAGGTCCTTTCACAGACTCGAGACTTCAGACGAGACCTAATATTGTACAGAACCCATGTAACAACAAAAAAACTAAGTATGTGAGGTGGAACCACCACCCCTGAAGGGCGAAATGTCATAAGACCATGGGAGGACACAGACTGAGAAATGGGCGTAAGGGTGGTGGAGGGTACGTCGTGGTATCATAGCGAGGATTCTGTACCAGAGAGGATTAGCAGCACCCCGGAATGGCTGGGTATGACACTCTACGAGGATCCAGAATTCAGAGCTGGAGAGCGGAAATGGAGGAGGTGGGGTTAGTCGGCGGCTGTTAGTAACTCCGAGAAGGTTGCAAGTGCCTCCGTAAATGTAACCGTAGGATGTCTGATGAACATCCTTTTCTAGGGTACGGTCGTATGTTTGTAAGGGGGATATTCTGTGCCTGCTTGGCCCGCCATGATGTGGAAAACCAGACGGCCCAGCTGCATGAATGGCTGCGATGCCCTAAGGCACGGTCGATCGAATCTCCGTCGACCGAAGGACCGTCCACTAAAGCACCGTCGCTGCTTGCTCATTCCAAAACCGTACAGCACCGAGCTCTATGCGCCGTTTGCACATCTGAATGCTCCTCCGGCGACTCTCCATCCACACAATGCTTTTGCCGCTTACAGCAAACATTCTTATCCGCCACGTCGGACGACGCCGTGACGTCAGAATCCGAATGCTCGGCAACATCAGACACAGATCCTTCCGAGTCTGAATCTGCAGGTTCGGACGCCGAACCTTCAGATCCCAGAAGGTCAGTCGCCGGATCTATGACGTCAGATGTTGTAGATTCCTCGGAATCTGACTCGGCTGCTTCGAACGCGGGGAGCGACGGGAGAAAATCGTCCATGGGGTATTGCATCCGCCATAGCTCGCCTTCCAGTAGCTTGCAGTAGCTCGCGAAATCGTCGGACGTGATGTTTAGGCGAAAATCGATGCGAAAGAGAAACTCCAGCTCCAGCCGGTTCATTTCGCCCGTCGTCACGCCGCCGACCTTGGCGTAATACGCGTTATTGAAATATCTGTTCGGGGAAAAGAATGGAAGATCCAAATAGTGCTGGTTGAGTTATTGAACCGGTTATAAATCTCACTCACTGTTGTGAATCTGACACGCTGACTGTTGTTACACTTTTGTACAAATAAAATGAAATAAAAAAAAAATGTAACTCACGCGTCGTCAAAGAACTTGGTGGCGACCATGACGCTGGTGACGAGCAGCCGATGAATGTTCAGATTCGTCAGAAGCATGTCCGGCTGTCGCTCGATCATCCGGTCGACATAAATATACGCCACCACGAAGCACGAGTAGCTGCAGTTCGCGTACTTGAAGATCCTATCCAGGTACTTGTCAAGGCCGATGCCGGGTGCTTGCAGACCGTGAAACACGGTAAGCTTCTGATTCGCGCACTGGCTGCTCGCTTCGTTGGCAGCCATGATCCGCTCCAAGATTGTAGCGAGGACATCGAGGATTCTCGGCCTCTCGCAGAGATTGTCAGGGTCTATTTCTAGCGTCTTGAAAGCGCTGACTTCCAGAAGCTGATCCGGCAAGGAGAAGGATCCTCCTTTACCCATGGCTTCCGATTCACCAAAAAGATAGTACGTCAAGGGAGAAATAACACGTTCAGTCACGGGAAACTCACGACGATTCGAATCCGCTAAAGCTGCTGCACATATACGGAGATCGAAGGAGGCTATATGACGCTTGACGCTCAACTAGTGTTCGGATCCGTTACGTTCGAGGAAGGATTTGGATAGAGCACAAGCTACAACAACGGCCAGGAGCATTGAAATGAACAAATGATGCTGTTCGATAGAAGTACTACTGCGGCGAGGTAGCTCCGAGCGCTCTGCTGCTTATGCGCCCTCCGACAATGTCGATGGCGGGAAGAGGCGGGATGGACCAGGGATGCCGAGCCAAGACAAAGCAGGAAATGAGAGCACGAGGGAGAGAGAGAGGGAGAGAGGGAGAGGAGAGGGAGGGAGAGTCGGGATTGGATGGGATGGGATGGATGGGAAATAGATGAGGGGTGGGAGGGAGCTAGCTGGTGGAGGGAATACAGACAGTTGGATGGAGGGAAAGCGGCGGCTTGGTCTGTGCTCACTGGTGTGGGAGAGATCGAAATCGAGGATGAATCGGCGATGGATGGTTGGCGATGAGCGGCGCTCACAATTGACGAACCCGATTTACGTTCAAGCTCTTCATTTCTCCGCAGATCGCTCGTCTCAAATACCTCGTCAGCGTCCATGCGCGTCGTCGCTTCGTCTCGTCGCCCATCTGGTTTGCATCATTAGGCCGTAGGGGGGTTACGAACGATGGCTCTCTGATGGGCTGCTGCGACGGCTTGCGCCAACTGTCGGTTCGATAGAGAGGTCGCCCATCAGCCCCCTTGACACAAATGGACCCCTCGTTCACGTCGTCACGTCGCACTCGCTCGTTGGAACGTGTTTGATATCTGTCGCGGGCCCCTCCGCGATCTTCCCTCCCTGCAAAACACGAGTTGGCGAAGTTTGTGCGTCTCCCGCGCATCGCAAATGTCAGCTACTGACGACGTTTCTGTGTTGGCGGGGGGGCATGCGCAACGCACATGCAGTACTTTCGAATCAGTCTTGCGCCCTCAACTCTGTTGCTCTTCCAATCAGGACGAGTCGCAACAGCCTCGTGTAACAAAATGATGTGGCCACGGTATCTTCGCATGCTGAACCGATCTCCCGCGAGCAAGGACAGTCTTTCTTTGGCTGCGAAGTAAGGCGAGAGGATACAAATACTCGCAGCTAGCAGAAGTATTTTCATTGGACATGTTACCTCTGCTGTACTCGAAGAACATACGAATCACGCGGGAAAAATGCAAAGCGCCACATTCCGACAACTTCCAGAGCTTCACGCACCACACGGGTCCCGTCCCGTATCAGTGACTGCCACGTCTAATACGATCCGGGCAACGCGGGAATTTTGGCAGGAACCCCGTTGTGACACGGACCATACCACACTTCCATGCCGTGGCTGGGGTCAAAAGAGAACGGGCAACCCTTCTTGTCGGGCGGGAAAAGGATCGCAGGGCAGGTCAGCAAAAGCTCCACCATAGTGAGCGAGCAGTATCGTTACAACGTCAGCACATTAACGATTTAATATATACAAGGCTTACCTTTCATCTCGTGATCTCATACTCCCTTAGTTACACAAGCATGACCAATGTTCAGTGAAGCTATACGTTAGCATTTGTGTTAGGACAAACATTACACTGGGTACAAGTAGCATTGTACAGGCACTTTCCGCAGCCATATATTTCAGGGTTGCAAATTTTCCCATTCACTTGGCCTTAGGAAAATGGATTGAGGAAAAAACGACCGTACCTAGTTGACCAGGACGACACAGCAACACAGGTTCATGACTGTTTGCCCTGGTAATGACAATGGTGTTTAGTGTAGTCCCAGCGCAGGACTGAGTTCTGCTAGTAGAGATGTTAGGTCCACAAAGACCAGCTTAGCATTAAGGAAAAAACGACTGATTATGATATGCCTGCAGGATGAAGGGGCACAAAGAACAAGAGGAAAGGCTGATGGCCACCCGAAGGCTGATGAAAGCGCGAAGGCTGATGGCCACCGGAGCAGCAACATAAAGATCTTAACACTCCACTATGAACAAACAATGAGAGCAAAACAACCTCGATTACGAAGAACATGGTAGTAATACAAAAAACTGACCTTACAGCTAAATTGGCTTGATCTTGAAATGAAGACCTATTAACGAGAAAACTAGACACTTCAGATCCTGAGATGCCACAGAAAACCAGAAGAGGAGACAGAGGAGTGAGCGAAGGAGGAAAACAGAACGGAACAAACGGCAGCTCTGATAAAAAAAAACCACAGCAACCAATCGCAGCACTAAGCTGCTATTTGCGCTTTAAGAAGCGTACCTGCACCAAATAGTAGAAAACCCTAAGGCCCTCTGGGTCCTTGCTGCTCTGAACGTCGATTAGGGATCCGATCTTGGAAGTGAGAAACGATACGTGCTCATTTCCCATGACAATCTCCAGCTCCTGACGACCCACTCTGTCCGGCTCTGGCCAGTTGCTGTCATCTTCCTTCGTCACCTGCACCCTTGGCCCCAAGGCGAGCGGCGAAATAATAAGGGGAACGTTAAACGCGAAGGCTGCTGCTCCGTCGGAACGAGATGCAGGAAGAGCGGGAAGCTAAAGCGTACCTCGCTCTCCGCGATAATCCGTTTGCACTCCCTCATAACAGCTTCCGACACAAACACCTCCTTTCGGATCATAGTGTCCTTCTTGTAGTTCGAATTATTCGCGTATCGCAGTTTCCCATCTGGTCTAAACTCGAACTCGAGAAACTCATGGCCGAATTTGCCCTTGTGACCGACGTAGTATCTGACGTAAAATTCTCCGAGCTCGTCGGTCGCCATGTCGTGGAGAGAGTGACACCGAGAACGAGCAAGCTGGACGAATGTCGAAGTCGAGACGGCTGAAGGAAGTTTAGGTATTGTGTGGGCAGAAAGAAGCAGCTCTTCGGCGGCGGTACCCGTAACGGAGCGAACTCGATTTAGTTTAGATTGAGTGGGGTGAGATTACAAACAAATGTTACATGCTTACGTAGTTCAAATCAATTGGTTTGATACCTGCAAATGTCACCAAGGGATTGTCAGGCGGGCATCACCCACCACCTCCGCTCCGCCACCAATCCACCCGTCGACCGCAGCAGCACCCACTTCCCTATCCGCTTGGTCC